GAGAGCAGGCTGTGGGATGGAGAGCAGGCTGTGGGATGGAGAGCAGGCTGTGGGATGGAGAGCAGGCTGTGGGATGGAGAGCAGGCTGTGGGATGGAGAGCAGGCTGTGGGATGGAGAGCAGGCTGTGGGATGGAGAGCAGGCTGTGGGATGGAGAGCAGGTTGTGGGATGGAGAGCAGGCTGTGGGATGGAGAGCAGGCTGTGGGATGGAGAGCAGGCTGTGGGATGGAGAGCAGGCTGTGGGATGGAGAGCAGGCTGTGGGATGGAGAGCAGGCTGTGGGATGGAGAGCAGGCTGTGGGATGGAGAGCAGGCTGTGGGATGGAGAGCAGGCTGTGGGATGGAGAGCAGGTTGTGGGATGGAGAGCAGGTTGTGGGATGGAGAGCAGGTTGTGGGATGGAGAGCAGGCTGTGGGATGGAGAGCAGGCTGTGGGATGGAGAGCAGGCTGTGGGATGGAGAGCAGGCTGTGGGATGGAGAGCAGGCTGTGGGATGGAGAGCAGGCTGTGGGATGGAGAGCAGGCTGTGGGATGGAGAGCAGGCTGTGGGATGGAGAGCAGGCTGTGGGATGGAGAGCAGGCTGTGGGATGGAGAGCAGGCTGTGGGATGGAGAGCAGGTTGTGGGATGGAGAGCAGGCTGTGGGATGGAGAGCAGGCTGTGGGATGGAGAGCAGGCTGTGGGATGGAGAGCAGGCTGTGGGATGGAGAGCAGGTTGTGGGATGGAGAGCAGGTTGTGGGATGGAGAGCAGGCTGTGGGATGGAGAGCAGGCTGTGGGATGGAGAGCAGGCTGTGGGATGGAGAGCAGGCTGTGGGATGGAGAGCAGGCTGTGGGATGGAGAGCAGGCTGTGGGATGGAGAGCAGGCTGTGGGATGGAGAGCAGGCTGTGGGATGGAGAGCAGGCTGTGGGATGGAGAGCAGGCTGTGGGATGGAGAGCAGGTTGTGGGATGGAGAGCAGGCTGTGGGATGGAGAGCAGGCTGTGGGATGGAGAGCAGGCTGTGGGATGGAGAGCAGGCTGTGGGATGGAGAGCAGGCTGTGGGATGGAGAGCAGGCTGTGGGATGGAGAGCAGGCTGTGGGATGGAGAGCAGGCTGTGGGATGGAGAGCAGGTTGTGGGATGGAGAGCAGGTTGTGGGATGGAGAGCAGGCTGTGGGATGGAGAGCAGGCTGTGGGATGGAGAGCAGGCTGTGGGATGGAGAGCAGGCTGTGGGATGGAGAGCAGGCTGTGGGATGGAGAGCAGGCTGTGGGATGGAGAGCAGGCTGTGGGATGGAGAGCAGGCTGTGGGATGGAGAGCAGGCTGTGGGATGGAGAGCAGGCTGTGGGATGGAGAGCAGGCTGTGGGATGGAGAGCAGGCTGTGGGATGGAGAGCAGGCTGTGGGATGGAGAGCAGGTTGTGGGATGGAGAGCAGGTTGTGGGATGGAGAGCAGGTTGTGGGATGGAGAGCAGGTTGTGGGATGGAGAGCAGGTTGTGGGATGGAGAGCAGGCTGTGGGATGGAGAGCAGGCTGTGGGATGGAGAGCAGGCTGTGGGATGGAGAGCAGGCTGTGGGATGGAGAGCAGGTTGTGGGATGGAGAGCAGGCTGTGGGATGGAGAGCAGGCTGTGGGATGGAGAGCAGGCTGTGGGATGGAGAGCAGGCTGTGGGATGGAGAGCAGGCTGTGGGATGGAGAGCAGGTTGTGGGATGGAGAGCAGGTTGTGGGATGGAGAGCAGGCTGTGGGATGGAGAGCAGGCTGTGGGATGGAGAGCAGGCTGTGGGATGGAGAGCAGGTTGTGGGATGGAGAGCAGGCTGTGGGATGGAGAGCAGGCTGTGGGATGGAGAGCAGGCTGTGGGATGGAGAGCAGGCTGTGGGATGGAGAGCAGGCTGTGGGATGGAGAGCAGGCTGTGGGATGGAGAGCAGGCTGTGGGATGGAGAGCAGGTTGTGGGATGGAGAGCAGGTTGTGGGATGGAGAGCAGGTTGTGGGATGGAGAGCAGGTTGTGGGATGGAGAGCAGGTTGTGGGATGGAGAGCAGGCTGTGGGATGGAGAGCAGGCTGTGGGATGGAGAGCAGGTTGTGGGATGGAGAGCAGGCTGTGGGATGGAGAGCAGGCTGTGGGATGGAGAGCAGGCTGTGGGATGGAGAGCAGGCTGTGGGATGGAGAGCAGGCTGTGGGATGGAGAGCAGGCTGTGGGATGGAGAGCAGGTTGTGGGATGGAGAGCAGGTTGTGGGATGGAGAGCAGGCTGTGGGATGGAGAGCAGGCTGTGGGATGGAGAGCAGGTTGTGGGATGGAGAGCAGGCTGTGGGATGGAGAGCAGGCTGTGGGATGGAGAGCAGGCTGTGGGATGGAGAGCAGGCTGTGGGATGGAGAGCAGGCTGTGGGATGGAGAGCAGGCTGTGGGATGGAGAGCAGGCTGTGGGATGGAGAGCAGGCTGTGGGATGGAGAGCAGGCTGTGGGATGGAGAGCAGGTTGTGGGATGGAGAGCAGGTTGTGGGATGGAGAGCAGGCTGTGGGATGGAGAGCAGGTTGTGGGATGGAGAGCAGGTTGTGGGATGGAGAGCAGGCTGTGGGATGGAGAGCAGGTTGTGGGATGGAGAGCAGGTTGTGGGATGGAGAGCAGGCTGTGGGATGGAGAGCAGGCTGTGGGATGGAGAGCAGGCTGTGGGATGGAGAGCAGGCTGTGGGATGGAGAGCAGGCTGTGGGATGGAGAGCAGGCTGTGGGATGGAGAGCAGGCTGTGGGATGGAGAGCAGGTTGTGGGATGGAGAGCAGGTTGTGGGATGGAGAGCAGGCTGTGGGATGGAGAGCAGGTTGTGGGACGGCACAGGATTGCGGCGCATGGGAGGAGAAACGCAGGCAGCAGTGGTGCAGCAAAGGCGCTCGCGGTAAGGCAGCCCCACCTGGCCATCGGCGCGCATGTGTGCCTGCATGACTCCCGCCAGCGTCGATATGGATATGCTGCGGGTGGGGTGTGGGGGGTGGGGAGTGGGGAGTGGGGAGAAGGAGGAAGAGGAGGGAAGGAGGAGGAAGAGGAGGGAGGAAGGAGGAAGAGGAGGGAAGAAACTGAGAGGGCCAGAAGAGGCGAAGGCGGGAAGGGCGTATGGAGTGAGTGAGAGAGAGCAAAGGCGGGAAGGGCGTATGGAGTGAGTGAGAGAGAGCGAAGGCGGGAAGGGCGTATGGAGTGAGTGAGAGAGAGCGAAGGCGGGAAGGGCGTATGGAGTGAGTGAGAGAGAGCGAAGGCAGGGGGCAGGGGCGTACGTTTGGGTGTTGTGTGAGTTGGTGACGTCAGCAATGAACTTGGCCAAGCAGCGGATGCCGTTGCCACACATCTGCCATGTCACGTGCCGAGGGGCACGCAGACAGGCATGCAGGGGGACATGCAGGGGGACATGCAGGGGGGCATGCAGGGGGGCATGCAGGGGGACAGCGGGCATGAGACAACTGGCACTGACAGCAGATGAGGAGTCTGTGTGTCACAGGGAAGTGACGCGAAGCAGTGAGTGTGCAGAGCACTAGAGGTGTGCGCGCTGACCATCCCTCGCACACCATGGGCGCCTGCCATCGCTTCATGCTCAACGCCCACCCCTCTTCACTGCACTCGACACCTTGGGCCGCTGCCATCGCGCTGCACACCTTGCGCTCACACCACCCTGCAGTGCACTGCCCTGCACTGCACCACGCTGCACCGCACGGCGCACCTCGGGCTCGCTGCCGTCGCTGTTGAAGATGCGCATGGTGTAGTCGGCGCCCGCCTGCCCCGGCAGCAGGAAGATCACTCCGTCGCCGCCCACCCCGAAGTTGCGGTCGCACAGCCGCGCCGCCTGCTCCTGCGACACCAACGGCCCCGACGAATGCCGGTTGTCCACCTGGCGCGTCGGGCAGCCATGCAGGGGGGGTCGTGGCGGTGTGAGCGACGGAGCATAGGACGAATGGCAACAGCCGCAGCAGAATCAGGAGTGGAACGTGGCAGGAGAAGCGGCAAGAGCAGGAGCAGCGACGAGAGGGGTGTGAGGAGGCACGCAGGCGGGCAGGGAGGGAGCGAGGCGGCTCACGAGGATGAAGTCGTTGCCGATGCCCTGGTACTTGCTGAACCGCAGCTCCCCACTGCCCGACGCCCACCCCGCTGCCGCCTGCCATGGTTCATACCACACCACGCCAAGCCGTACCGTGCCATGCGGGCCATGGCGACACGCCACGCCATTCCACGACATGTCACGCAATGCCATCGGATTAACGCGAAAGAGGACAGAACGGAAGCGCATTGCTTGAGTGCGTCTGCCAGACGCGCTGACTCGCCATTTTCCCTCCAGCCACGCTTATTTCTTTTCAATCAGTAGAGCTTTCCGGACGGATCAGATCGCTTGCGGCGATCCCTCGAGGCTCCTCAGATCCCGTCTCACCATCGCTATCCGCGCCCTCGATCGGACGGTCGTCGCAGAAAGGCTGTCGTCGCTCGGAGAAGCGATCCGTCGGAGGCTGGTCAGACAGGGTGCGTTACGCGACGGCACGCGCGAGGGTAACGGCTGGGTGGGGCTGGTTTTGGGCGCTTTGCTGTGGATCGCGAGGCACGATCCCGCAATGCGGCCGGCTGCGCACGTCGCGACCATATCCGCGAATGGTGCTGAAGCGCTGCGCGCGTGACACGGCGGATCGCGGGTTTCTTGAGATCGATAATGTTGTGGGTATTCCGAGGTCGATGGGGTCACTCACAGCTCGTTCCACTTCCTTGCGGCCGCACCTCAAATCCTCAAGACAGAAGTGGCTGGGGTTGCCGAAGCAGATACTTGGCAAAAAGCATCGCTGTGTAACTCAATTCGCTAGCTCTTCAGAGCAATGCAATCTCGAGGAAAATAATCTCGCGAAATGTTGCACCTTCGCCAAGCAGTGTGCACCCAGTGTACGGTGAAAGGCATTCCAATCACACACTTGGCGAGCTTGAATACCATTTGTACTGACACCACCTCAGCAGATCCGCAAGAAGAGCCGAAATTAACGGAAAGTCAGTGCTCATGGCCCACGACGACGATGCGACGCCTGGCGACGAGGGCGAATTCGAGGGCGACAGCTGCGAGTTGTCGTTCCTCGAGGAGGCGAGCGAGCTGCAGCGCCTCGTCGCCATACTCGTGCCCTCCGCGCAAACTGATCAGTCTGGATCGGTGCAATGCGGTGTGTCGAATTTCGGAATCCGAGAGGCGGATGAGGATGCGCAACGAAGGCGCGCAGCGGGCGACGGGGAGATGCGCGACGACCCGCGGGCAGCAGTGCTGCTCCGCTTCGAAACCATCGTACGCCTCGCGCTCGCCGCTCGTAGCCCGTAGACCGCCATTCGTGTGGCTTAGATCGTCGGTCTTGACGCCTAGCTCGTCTCGTCGCTCGTTTCTCATACGCCATGAGTTCTTGAATCGGATTGAAAATGCAGCCGTCGTGAAGGGCTGGGTGCAGCGCCACTCGCGCTGACATCCTTGCGCGCCGTAACCCGCGTGATGCAGCCGTCCCCACAGGCATCGCTGGCTGTGGCCGCGTCTCTCTTCCATCACCGCGCACCCGCGCATGCGCCCCATCCGCCCAACTACTCATGCATCCCTCCCCCGGTCACACATTCCCGCCCTACACTGCACCCCCGCCCCCCGCGTGGCAGTGCGCCAAGTACCGCGAGCAGCCGGAGCTTCTAGACCCGCACCTCTCCGCGCTGCTCTCCCCCGCCATGGCCTGCCTCTCCGCGCACGCGCTCGCCGCCGCCGCCGCGCTGCCTTCCGAACTTGCGGAAGGCTCCGCGGGGTCGGGGGAACTCGAGCGGGCGATGGGGGAGGCGGAGGCGCAGCGGATGGTGCGGGAGGTGGCGGGGGCGGCGTGCGTGGTGCAGGTGGTGGCGTACGTGCGCGGCGCGAAGGTGGTGTGCCGCTTCTTCCCCAACGCGCCCTCCCACCTCGAACCCGCGCTCGCGCTGCTCATGCTCATGCTCCGCCTCTCGCCCGCTCCGCCCAAGGTAGCGCTGCAGGGATGCGGTGGTGGGGGAGCGCGGATGCAATGGTGGGATGCAGTGGTGGGATGCGGTGGTGGTGAGATGCGGTCGTGAGATGTGGTCGTGGGGCAGGAGGGATGAATCAAGATAAGCGAGTTGTTGGAGTCCCATACGCATGCCACACGCGTCAGTCACAGTCCATCTTGCCTCCCCTACGTCACTGCGCCGCTCATCCCTTCGCCCCTCTGTCCGCCCCTTCTCCCCATCCCCTCCCCCACATCCCGCGCCAATCGCCCCTGGCGCGCGGGGCGCGCGGGGGAGAAGGCGGGCGAGGAGGTGGGGGTGGCGGTGGAGGCGGCGGAGCAGTGGCGCGTGCACTACGCGCTGCTCTCGTGGCTGTCGCACCTGCTGCTGCTGCCCTTCTCCCTCCCCTCCCTCGACTCCAACCTCTTCACCCCCCAACCCCCCGCCCCCCTGCAACCCTCCTCCACGCCCTCCTCCCTCCAACACTCCTCCCAACCGCCACCACCACCAGCAGCAGCAGCAGCAGCAGCATCAACAGCGCCAGCACCCGTGGCGTCCCAATTGCTCCACCGCCTCCTGCCACTCCCCACCGCTGCATGGGAAGGAAGGTTCTCAGAAGGATGGTCACTATGCGACATGCTGCTGCGAGTGTGCCTCTCCTTCCTGCCCAACGGCCGCCTGCCCGTCCCCCTCATGCTCGCCCGCCTCCTCTCCCGCCCCGAAATGCACTCCCCCCTCGCCTGGTAGGCCATTCACCCCCCCCCCGTATGACATGGTCTCGGGGCCATTCGCCCCGAGATGCATTCGGCCCTCGCCTGGTAGGCCATGCACCCCCCCGGTATGCCATGGTCTCTCCAACTTTTGTCAACCTTCCACTCTACGCTTCCTTGTGCCTTTCGTCCGTCTCCCACCATACGCCATCCCCCCCCTCTCCACCCATATCCATCCCCCCCCTCTTCACCCATATCCATCCCCCACCTCTCCACCCATAGCCATCCGCGTACTATCCCCTTCTCCGCCCGTGCTCCCTTGCACCTTCCTTGCCACAATCGCCCACGCGCATTCTCTCTCTCGCCCAGGTTCATGGCTGAGAGCCGCCGCCTCGTCGCCTCGCTCTCTGCCGCCCAGCCCTCGCCAGCCCCTCTCCCAGACGGCCCGCCTGGCAGGGGAGAGGGGGCGGCAGTGGTGGAGGGGGGGGAGGGGTCGGAGGAGGTGCTGGCCCCTGTCGTGCTCACCCTCGCCGCCATCTTCAAGGTGCCTCCGCTGCTGTCTTACTGTCTCTTTGCCTCTCTTTGCCGCTGCCTGCCTTTGCTGCCTGTCGTCACATGAACTTGTCCCCGCGGCTTTCCTCTGCCCCCATTCCCCCCGTCCTGCTTTCCCACCTTCCCCTCCACCTTCACTCACCTCTCCCTTTCCGCTGTCTCTTGCCCTGTTGCCCTTCTCCTTCTCCCCTTCCCTTCCCCCTTCCCCCCCCCTCCCCCGCGTGAGCGTGCAGGCAGCCCCGCGCACAGAGCTCACGCACCACACGCACGCCGTGTGGGCCGCCGTGCTCCTGCCCCTCCTCCTCTCCACCTCCCCCGCCAACCCTCCTCCTTCCACAGGCTCCTCTCCCCCCACCATGCGTGCGCGCCCTGTGTCGCTGCTGCTCCCCCTGGCCCTCGTGAAGCTGCTCCATCGCCTCGCCCTCTCCCTGCTGCCGCCCCGCCAGCCCTCCTGGCGCTACCAGGTACGGCAGCTTCAAACCCTCAACCTCGCACGCCCTTGCTTGGTACAGAAGCACTGCTACAGCAGCACTGCCACTTGGCTTCCACCTCAGCCTCGCGTGCTGTTACTCGATTCACGATCATGCTCGTTGCGGTGTTTCCAAAGCATCCCTAATGTGCTCATCTTTATTCTTCCCACCCCACCCTCTCCCCCCCCCCCCTCTCTGCCCCTCGCAGCGCAGCATCCACCGGGTGGACGCCCCTCCTGCTGCCGCCTCCCCCGCGCCCTCGCAATCGCCGGCAGCAGCAGGTGCTGGGCCAGGCACAGAACAGGGAGTGGCGGCAAGTGCGGGAGGAGTGGCAGGCGCGGAGGAGAGAGAGCTGGGGCGGAGAGAGAGGGATGGGGAGGAAGGTGGGGAGGGGGAGGAAGAGGAGGAAGGGGAGGTGGAGGAGTTGGTGGAGGAGGCTGTGGGGGAGCTGCTACCCATGCTCAAACACGAGGTGCGTGTGGGTGTGTGTGGGGGGGGGGGGGGGGGGAGGGTGTGTGTGACAGCAGGTGAGTGTGGCCAGCAGCACACACCAACACAGTGGCACTGCTCCTCAATGTCACTTGAGCCCCTGCCCTCACCACCCCTCCCTCCCCCTCCTCTTCTGCCCGCCTGCCAGTCAACGGATGTGCGGTGGGCGGCAGCGCGCGGCCTGGCCCGGGTGGTGGGTGGCTTGCCAGCTGGCATGGCGGACGAAGTGGTGGCGGCCGTCCTTGCCCTCGTGGACCCCCACGAGGTGAGTGAGGGTATGGCTGAACGACCCTCACGAGGTGAGTGAGGGTATGGCTGAACGACCCCCACGAGATGACGCGACAGTATTGCCATGCTGCCCACGTAATCTTTCTCGTCTCCGCTGCTTCTTCGCCTGCTCTGCTGCTTGTGTGTTGACTCTGCTTGCTTATCTAACGTGCCATCCCAGCACTCTCCTCCATCTCACCCTCACCACCCCACCATCCATCCCTCCTCTCCCCTTCCCCCCTTCCCCCACCCCATGCCTGCCGCAGCTACCATCGGACAGTGCATGGCAGGGCGTGTGTCTGGCACTCGCGGAGCTGGCGGCCAGAGGGCTGCTGCTGCCGTCACGCCTGCACTCCGTCACGCCCCTCCTCGCCTCTGTGTGCCTCTTCCCCCACTGCCCCTCCTCCCTCACTGCACGCATTTAACCTCACCACTCACTCACTCACCTCACACACACTCTTTCTCTCACTTCACGCTCCAACGCCCCACAGCATCACTGTGCCATCCACAGTCCACACCCTCTCTGCTCCTCCTGCATGCAATACCCGTTTACCACTCTACACCACTAACTCCTTGCTGTCCCTCCTCATGCATCGCCCACCCCTCACCCTTCGCCCCATCTGGCAGCGCGCTCCTTTCTGCGCCCACCCGCAACACTCTCTCCGCTCCCCCTTCCCTTCCCTCTCCTCCCCGTCATCAGGCGTTGCACTATGAGGTGTTGCGGGGGGCGGTGGGCACGGGGGCGCATGTGCGGGATGCAGCGGCGTATGTGTGCTGGGCCATCGCCCACTCCTTCTCGCCGCCCGTCGCTGCTGCTTCCCTGCAGCAACTATGCCCTCACCTCCTCGCTGTCGCCTGCTGTGACCGCCAGGTGGGCTGCTGTGACCGCCAGGTGGGCTGCTGTGACCGCCAGGTGGGCTGCTGTGACCGCCATGCCCCATCCCCCATGCGCCATGCCCCATGCGCCATGTGCCATACCCCATGGCCCCCCCCCATGCCTCATGCACTATGCCCCATGCCCCGTGCTCCATTCCCCCACCCCATGCGCCATGGGCAGATGAAGTGCAGGTGGGCGGCAGCAGCAGCCTTCCAGGAGGTGGTGGGTCGCTGTGGCTGCATCTCCGATGCGCAAGCACTCTCCACGCCCACCACCAGAGGCACTCCGCACGCCTCCACCACAGCAGGCAATGCGGTGGAGAGCGGTGCCGGGAAGGAGGAGCAATGGGCGCCAGCAGGGGGCATCGCCATAGTGAATGCTGCTGACGTCACATCGCTCTCCTCCACTCGCACTGCATTCACTCAGGTGCTGTGCCACCCGCACAAGCATGTGCCCGTCCAGCTTTCATCGTCCTCATCCGCCTCTTCGTCGCCTGCTGCACATGTCAACCACGCCCAGGTCACATGTCCGTGACTGCACCATGACTGCCATATGTCTATCCCCCCAACTCTCTCCCCCCTCCCTCGCCTCCCCCATGCCCCTCCCCCCTGCCCGTCCCCCTTGCCCTTTCCTCCACGCAGGTGGCACTGTTCGTGGCGGGCTATCCCGAGTACCGCCAGCAGCTGCTGCTCAAGCTAGCAACCAGCACGCACCACTGGGACAAGGCCATTCGCGCCCTCGCCGCTGAGTCTCTCGCTGCCATCGCCCCCCTCGACCCGCCCCGCCTGCTCACCCTCCTGCACTCGCACCTCCTCCCCCTCCTCGCCTCCCCCGACCCCCCCTCCCGCCACGGCGCTCTCCTCGCCACCGCCGCCCTCCTCCCGCCCCTCTCCGCCTCCCCGCCCTCCCCTGCCCTCACGGACACCCTGTCCTCCCTCACCGCCTCTCTCCCCACGCTGCTCGCCCCGCGCTCCTTCCGAGGGCGCCTAGCGGCGGATCTCAAGGTGGCCTGCTGCCGCCTGCTCTCCGCCCTCGCTGCTGCACTGCCCCGCGCGCGCCTGGCCCCCTTGCCCACGTCTGCTCTCACTGCTGCTGTTGCGTGCCTGCATGACATGCTGGCAGGCGATGGGGGCGAGCTGCAGGTGAGGGGGGAGATGGGGAAAGAGGGGGGAAAGTGACGGGGTGAGGGAGGGGAGTTGGTTGAGCATGCATTTGAGCGCTGTGACACCGTGTCAACGTAGACGCCCCACTGCGCTAACAACATGCCACCATGCACACTTCTCATGCTGCTCTCCTCTTCCACTCTCCTCCCCCCACTTTTCCCCCACTCCTCCCCTAACTTCCCCAGTGTGCGCGGGCGCGCTTTGTCTCATCCGTGCAGGAGGCAGCAGCAGCCGCCCTGTGGGACGTTGCTCGCTCCCAGCCCTCACCTTCCTGCACGCACCTCGTGCGCCAAATAATCACTCGCCACGCGGCGACTCTGGAGTCTGCCAGTTCAGCAGCGAGTGCGAGGCGAGGCGCTGTGCTGGCGCTGCAGTGCTTCCTGCCCAGCCTCGGCCCCGCGTGGCCCCCTTCCTCTCCCCTAGACTCCCCTGCTGGTGACTCGGACACAGGGGGGATGGGAGTGGAGCAAGAGGAGGGGGAGAGGCAGGGGGGTGAGAGGTCAAGGCGAGAGCTATCAGAGCGAGTGGTGAAGGCGCTGTGTGCTGCTGCCACCGACAATGTGAGCGCTCTCTGCCTTTGCCCCTCCACCCATCCCCGCTTCCTCCATCCCGCCTTTCTATCTAATCCTCTGACTACCCTAACACCGCAGTCTCATCCTTTGATTCCGTGTGTCCAGATACCCTTAAGCTCGGATTTCCAGTCCCTTGTCAATTCCACCACCCACCCAACCATCACCCCACTCTGCGACCATCCACCACCCCTTATCCTCCCCTCCATCCCTGCAGCGCGGGCGTCGTGCCGTGACTGACGTGGCAGTGCGGGCGGCAGCAGTGGAGGCGCTGGGCCACGCTGTGAGCATCATCCCACTGCTGCATGCCGGCAGAGCGGGCGCAAGGGGGCACGCAGGGACAGGTGGGGGAGACGGGGCGGAGGTGGGGCAAGTGCAGGGGGGGGCAGGGGAGAAGGAGGGGGTTGAGGGGAGCAGGCAGGATGGGTTGGAACGCCATGGGTGGTGGGAGGAGGGGGGGGAGAGCGTGGTGGTGGCGTTGCTGCGAGCTGCAGAGGACTACACGGAGGACCAGCGGGGTGATGTGGGCCGCCTCGTGAGGGAAGCTTCCATGAAGGCGCTGGTGGCTTGGGTGGAAGAAGCGTACAAGTTGAGTGAGGTGGAGGAAGGCAGTGTGGGGGATGGAGACGTTGTGGTGGACGGGAGTCTCCCAAATGGCGTTCCAAGCCCTGCCCTACTCGCACCACCTGATGCACCCTCCCCACAGCAGCGGTGCATTGCAGCGCGGGAGTGGTGCAGAGCGGTGGCAAGGCGGGTGGTGGGCGTGCTGCTGAAGCAGGCGGGGGAGAAGATTGATGGCACCCGCAAGGTGGCAGGACAGGGGCTGCAGCGGCTGCTGTGGGGAGAGCAGAACGGTGCAGCAATGACAGGGACACAAGAGACAAGAGAGGAAGCAGGGACAGCAGAGGCAGTTGAGGCACGTGGTGCTGCTGGCAGCACGCTGGAGGCATCAGGTGGAGGCGACGAGGAGAGCGATGGAGGAGGTTCTGTGAGGCAATGCGTGGGCGGCAGGGCAGAAGGGAGCGGTGTGTGCAGGGATGTGGATGGGTGGGAGCAGCTGAGGCAACACGTGCCCTCTGACCCTCACTTTCCATGGAAGGTACACCCTTTGCTCTGACCTGCTTTTCTGTGCTCTGCTGTGCTCGCACCTATTCCGCTCTCTCTGCTCCTTTGTTGCTCCAGTCCTTCTCATTCCCACCCACCTCCGCTCCTCTCGCATTCACCTCCATCATTTCCCCTCCCTTCCCCCTCTTCCCTTCACACCCTGCCAGAATCCTGCGGCTGTCTTTTCCCGCCTGGCCCCACTGCTGCTGCTGCCAGCCTACCGCCTGCCGCTGCTCTCGGGGCTGCTGCTCTCTGCAGGCGCTCTCTCTCACTCCCTCACTGCCGCCTCCCTGCGTGCCGTGCTCTCTCTCAAACCAGCACACGGGGCACAGGGGGGCACGAGGGGGGCCCGAGAGGAGGGGGGTGGCGGACAGTGGGAGGAGGTGCAGGGGCGGATAGCAGAGGACGTGGTGGTGCTGCTGAGGCGGCACCGCAAGCAGAATCGAGTCATAATCCCGTACATCAAGGTAGACCGCTGCACTTGAGTGGAAGCCTGCTGAATGTCACCGGCATGGCCAGCGGCTTGCGGTTGTGACCTGCCGTGTGGGAGGGAGCAGCGAAGCCAAGCACTGCGACGCATTGCCGCCATGCACGCTTGTGTCTGGGTGGGTCCTTGTTGATGCTTGCACCCGCTCTGCCGCTCTCATCTCCCCTGTGCTCTCGCTGCGTGCGTGCTTCTACTGGTTCCCATCTTCCTCCACTGCAGGCCATCGCTGCTCTCCTTCAGGCGGATTTCTTCGGGTCGCTATCAGCAGACACCCCAGCGTCAGATGAGGTCCGTGAAGCCTTGCAGTGCAGTGCACGTGCCCATCCAACACCTGCTCCCCCCAGTCTCCATCCTTCACGTCCCTTGCTTCACATCCACACTTCACCCATTCCTCCGTGCACTTTAACCGCCTCTACCTTGCAATTCTGCATGGCGTTCCTCTGCCCTCCCGCACTCCTGCCCTCCCACGCCCCTTTGCTCTCGCACCCCCTCTCCAGCCTGCCTCTTCCACCACCCCCCTCACGGCTCTACCCCATGCGTTAGTGGAGAGTGTGGAGGCAGAGCTTCAGCGCCCACAGCCCACGGCATCGGTGCCCAAGATGCTGGCAGCTGTCGACCTGCTCTGCCATCTCGCCGCCCCCCATTGCTCCGCTCGCCGCCATGCCCTCTCCACACTCCTCTGGCTGCTCGCCGTGCGCTTCCCCACTGTGAGTGTGCCTTTTCCGGCTGCATTGCACCCTCTGGTCGTATCGACACTGCAATAGCCATTGCGCTCCACAGCATAGCTCCTACTCGCCTGTCCAGTGCCACCTCAAGGTTGTTCCAAGCGTTGCATTGCATGTGTAAAGATGTCAACGCCCTTCCTGTTTCACATGCACCCACACAACCCCAACAGGTTCGGAGGCATTGTGCAGAGCAACTGTACTTGGTGCTGCTACTGGGAACACAAGGCGGGGATGGATTGGAGGATGCTGACAGAGAGGCAGCGTTGGAACAAGCTTCAGAGATTCTTAGTGCTGATTGGGGTGCAATGGATGATGCTTTGGTGTCTGGTCAAACAAATGAATTACGGGCTTTGTTAGAAACTGCTTTTTCATAAAGGATACTTTTTTTAGGGTCCGCATAAGCATCTAGTCAGGAAACATCTGGTGGAGTATATTGTATATTCCAAAGGCAGGGAGAGGAATGCAACGCAATTACATGATAAGCTATTTGACACCTTCGCTAGGTTTTCCTTCTAATCCACCGGATTGTGAGACCGTCAATAATGCGTACAGCAAATTCTTGGTCTCCAACGCTGCCAAGCATCGCCGGTTCTTGATTCCCATCCTTCTTTTCGCGCCATTTTAGTCACAGCCACACAGATTATCATCCTTAGCGTACTAGACACGCCGTCGCTATGGCGGACGAGGCAGAGCGCGCCAAGCCGAAGCCGTTCAAGGCGGAGTACGCCAAGTCGGCGCGCGCGAGCTGCAGGAAGTGCAAAGACACCATCGCCAAGGACGCCTTCCGCATCGCCAAGGTCGTCGAGTCGAAGCAGTTCGACGGCTTCATGACGGTAATGCGCTCATAGTGGCTTCACGGGGTCCACGATGGTATTGCCTTGGGGAAGTAACGACGGTAGTGGCTTCATACAAATTGAGAAGATAAAGAAGGTGGTTTCTTGGCGGATGCACGGCGAGGTGGATGCATGTCGCATTGCTTCGCATTCCGTGGATAATGCCTTCACAGTCCATGGCCCTAATCGCTTTGAGCTTCATCACATCGTTCCGTAGGCGGTCTTGAAGTAAAAGGCATGAGAGTCATGCGCACGCCCTCCCGCCTCCCCTGTACACCTGCATCTCCGCCCTTCTCATTCCCCTCTTTCCACCTGATTTCCCTTCCGTCTCTCAAGCTTCAACTCTTCTCTCATCTCCCTCCCCGCGGATTGCGCATTTCCCTTCCATCCATTCCCCCCCCCCCACTCCGCCCATGCCTTTTCTACTCCCCCCGCCCCGCCACCATGTGCGCGCGTCAGCTGTGGTTCCACGCGAGCTGCATCTTCAAGGCGCCGGGATTCATCACCAAGTCAGTGCCCCCTTCCCCTCTGCCACCCCTGCCCTGCTCCGGTTGCCCCCTTTGTACCCTCGCCGCCCCTGTCCCCCGTGCACCCCGAGTCCCTGCCGTATCAACTATGTACTGCGTCTATCTAGTCCGGCTCTCCTTCTTCTCTCCCCCAATACCTCATCCACCACCATTCACTCCCCGTCCCTTTTCCATGCCACTGCGCCCGCTAGTGTGGACGACGTCACGACGTGGAGGGCGTGGACGTGCTGCGCTGGCTCCAGTTCCAACACGCCTCAGGAACAAGACTCACCCCGCCCCCCTCCCCTTCCCCCCCCTCCCTCCCCCTCCCCAGTGTGGGCGACGTGGAGGGGGCGGACGTGCTGCGCTGGGAGGACCAGCAGGCGCTCCGGGCGTACGCCAAGGGGGAGGGGGGCGCGCAGGGCGCGGGGGACGAGGGGGGCGCGGGGAAAGGGGGAAAGGCAGGCAAAGGGGGAAAGGGGAAGGATGCTGCGGGGGCGAAGGGTGATGGGGGGAAGGGCGAGGGGAAGAGCAAGGGGAAACGGGGGAAGGCAGTGGCGGATGATTCGGGCTCGGAGGGGGAAGACGCAGCGGCGGGGACGGTGGCTGGATTCCAGGTGGCGTATGCTGCAAGCAACCGGTCGGCGTGCCGGCACTGCAATGAGAAGATCGCCAAGGGCGAGGTTAGCTGCTGCTGCCTCCTTTCAACTTCCGCCCCCAATGCTCTCCCTGCCCTGCGCTCCGTGCCATTACTCCCTGCGTCCCTTCTGACCCCATTTGCGATGCGAATCAAACCATGTCTGCCCATCCGTACACTCGCTTAAACCACCTGTCGAAGGACGTGAGCATCAATTGGGAGTGGGGTGTGAGGCTCGATGCCTCGCACCCCACTCGCAATTGATGCTCACGTCCTTCAATCCAATTATTGGAAAAACCAACTCGCCATTCCGTCCTTCCACTGCCTGCACGTGTCCTCTGCCACCCGTGAACCGCAGCTGAGAGTGGCGCGCATGGAGGCATCGAGTCGCGGCATGGAGGTGCCGGCATGGCGCCACGCGGCATGCGTGGGGGAGGAGGGCATCTGGCCTGAGGGGGCGCGCGTGCAGGGCGTGCAGGGGTGGGGCGAGCTCGCGAAGGAGGACCAGCAGCGCCTGCTGGAGATACTGGGAGGGGGTGCTAAGGGGAAGGGCACGGGGGAAGGTGAGTGTATGGTGGGGGGGAGGGGGGTATTTGGCCGAGAGGGCGCACGGGCAAGGGTGGGGCGAGCTGGAGAAGGACGAGCAGCAGCGTCTGGTGGATATACTGGGAGGCGGGGGCAAGGGGAAGGGCACAGGAGGAGGTGCGTGTACGGTGTGGGTGGGAGGATAGGGTGTATCGCGGGTCAATGGCTGCAGAGGGTGGTGATACTCGGCTCGGCGTGTGGAGGACTAGAGGTGAAGGCAGTGGATGGGCATTGGTTGCCTAGTTGTTCCTGCATGTGCCGTTTCTGTGTCTGCATGCATGTGCCGTTTCTGTGTCTGCATGCATGTGCCGTTTCTGTGTCTGCATGCATGTGCCGTTTCTGTGTCTGCATGCATGTGCCGTTTCTGTGTCTGCATGCATGTGCCGTTTCTGTGTCTGCATGCATGTGCCGTTTCTGTGTCTGCATGCATGTGCCGTTTCTGTGTCTGCATGCATGTGCCGTTTCTGTGTCTGCATGCATGTGCCGTTTCTGTGTCTGCATGCATGTGCCGTTTCTGTGTCTGCATGCATGTGCCGTTTCTGTGTCTGCATGCATGTGCCGTTTCTGTGTCTGCATGCATGTGCCGTTTCTGTGTCTGCATGCATGTGCCGTTTCTGTGTCTGCATGCATGTGCCGTTTCTGTGTCTGCATGCATGTGCCGTTTCTGTGTCTGCATGCATGTGCCGTTTCTGTGTCTGCATGCATGTGCCGTTTCTGTGTCTGCATGCATGTGCCGTTTCTGTGTCTGCATGCATGTGCCGTTTCTGTGTCTGCATGCATGTGCCGTTTCTGTGTCTGCATGCATGTGCCGTTTCTGTGTCTGCATGCATGTGCCGATTCTGTGTCTGCATGCATGTGCCGATTCTGTGTCTGCATGCATGTGCCGATTCTGTGTCTGCATGCATGTGCCGATTCTGTGTCTGCATGCATGTGCCGATTCTGTGTCTGCATGCATGTGCCGATTCTGTGTCTGCATGCATGTGCCGATTCTGTGTCTGCATGCATGTGCCGATTCTGTGTCTGCATGCATGTGCCGTTTCTGTGTCTGTATGCTCTCATCTCATTCACACCCTCTCCTCCTCCCCCATCCCGCACGCCTTGTCACTTCAGAGCCCCCCAAGAAGCGGCAGCGGGGGGAGGAGAAGGATGGGGGAGGCGAGGAAGGCAGCAAGCGCAAGGGGAAGGGGAGAGAGGATGTGAAGCCGCAGGACGCAGGGAAGAGCGAGGAGGGGACGATGAGCGCGGAGCTGGAGAGGGCGTTGGAGCAGCAGGCAAGGCGGCTGTGGGAGGTGAAGGACCAGCTGCGCGCACACCTGAGTGTGGCCGACATGCGCGCCATGCTGGAGGCCAATCAGCAGGAGCCAGGTGGCAGCGAGGACGCCCTGAGAGAGCGGTGTGCGGACGGCATGCTGTTCGGCCCCCTGCCGCCCTGCCAGCTGTGCGCGTCCCCCATGGAGTACTGGGACGGGCGGTACCGCTGCCGCGGGTTCCTCTCTGCTTGGTCTGCATGCTCCTTCACCACTCGCGACGTGCAGCGCAAGCAAGCTGCCTGGGTGGTCCCTGACGAGATTACCAACCCGTTTGTTGATGTGAGTTGCGGTGTCAGCAGTGGCGGATCCGTATTGGAGGCATTTTCTGAATCTTGGTGATTTATCATTCATGAGCTTAATTCGCTCGTGACTCACATGTTCATTGTGACTCACATGCTCATTGTGACTCACATGGTCATTGTGACTCACATGGTCATTGTGACTCACATGGTCATTGTGACTCACATGGTCATTGTGACTCACATGCTCATTGTGACTCACATGTTCATTGTGACTCACATGCTCATTGTGACTCACATGCTCATTGTGACTCACATGCTCATTGTGACTCACATGCTCATTGTGACTCACATGCTCATTGTGACTCACATGCTCATTGTGACTCACATGCTCATTGTGACTCACATGCTCATTGTGACTCACATGCTCATTGTGACTCACATGCTCATTGTGACTCACATGCTCATTGTGACTCACATGCTCATTGTGACTCACATGGTCATTGTGAGCTCGCACTAGTTGCGTTCCTCTCATTAGTTGCGTGCCTCTCACTAGTTGCGTTCCTCTCATTAGTTGCGTGCCTCTCACTAGTTGCGTTCCTCTCACTAGTTGCGTTCCTCTCACTAGTTGCGTTCCTCTCACTAGTTGCGTTCCTCTCACTAGTTGCGTGCCTCTCACTAGTTGCGTTCCTCTCACTAGTTGCGTGCCTCTCACTAGTTGCGTTCCTCTCACTAGTTGCGTTCCTCTCACTAGTTGCGTTCCTCTCACTAGCTGCGTGCCTCTCACTAGTTGCGTTCCTCTCACTAGCTGCGTTCCTCTCATCACATGCAGCTGTACGACTTGTCAATGCCTGTGCGGCCTTTGCTCCTGCGCTCATTGCTTTCTTGCCTCTGCGTTTTGCTGCTGCCAGGACTACCGAGCGAAGCAGCAGCAGCGGTTCAAAGCAGCAGACAAGAGCAAGGGCAAGGGGCGGGGCAAGGGGAAGGGCAAGGGGAAGGCGGAGGGGAGCGAGGCGGGGGATGAGGGGGGGAGTGTGTGGCCGCAGCGGGTGCTGCCGCCAGAGGAGAAGCGCAGTGAGGTGAAGCAGGCGAGCACGGCAGGGGCGGGGGGGAAGGAAGCGAGCAGTGGGAAGGGCGGCAGAGCAGCAAGGGGGGCGCGGGACCCATGGGAGAAAGCGATACCGGATGGGGGCGTGGAGAAGGACAAGCCGTTGGAGGGGGTGCACGTGGCGCTGCTGGGCCGCCTGTCCCGCACCCAGGCGGTGTGGCGCAAGGAGATCGAGGCGGGCGGCGGTGCGGTGGTGCCGTTGACGAGCGCGGGTGAGTGAGTGTGCTGGCAATCTGTTCTTGCGTGTGGAATTGCTTCTTGCGGTTCGCTGCCCGGAGAAGCATCGCGCTGATTTGATTCACATGCTCTTTGTTGCAGTGTTTCCTGCCATGTCAGTGCTTCCATTCCATCATCGCTCCACCATCCGCCATGCTTTCCTTTCCTTCCCCTCATTCCCGTTTGTTCCTCCCCTGCTGTTTCCCTGCGCCACTCACCCCCTGCGCCACTCACCCCCTGCGCCACTCGCCCCCTGCGCCACTCACCCCCTGCGCGCGGCGAGCACCAGAGGTGGACTGCATTGTGTCTACCAGCGCAGACGTGGACAAGAATGAGGACAAGCTCCTGCCGCCCCTGTACATCCACCGCCTCTCCCCCCCCACCCAACTTTCTCCACTGGTCCCACTGCCCCTGCCAACGATCTTTCCAATTCCCAAAACAAAGTTGCCGCACCTTATTCCACCTCTTCAACTCTCCTGTCTTTCCGTCCCTTCTACCACCCCATCGCGTCCATACCATCCGTCCCATTCCTTGCCCTAAACTCAACCCCATCCACCATTCCACTCTCTCCCCTCCCGCCACCCTCCTTCGCATCAATCCCACCTGATCAGCTCCATCCGCGCCCCTCCCTCACCGCAGCGTCCTGGGAGCGGCTGTCGTCTCAGAGGACTATCTGCTCGAATCGCTCTCACAGAAGCGCCGCCTGCCCATGCGCGCCTACCTGCTGCCGCTCTCGCTGCACCTGCTGCAGCAGGTGGACGCCAATCGCCCTGCCGCCGCCACTGCTGCTGCGGACGGGAAGCAGAGCAGGGCTGGGGGGAAGGGCAAGGGCAAGGGCAGGGCGGGCGAGGGGGAGGAGCAGGTGCGGGCGACGGTGCGTGTGAAGGGGCGGGCGGCGGTGCATGAGGCGTCGGGGCTGGCGGAGAGGGGGCACGTGCTGGAGTGTGAGGGGTGCGTGTGGAGCACCACTCTCTCCCTCGCTGACCTCTCCACCGGCGCCAACAGGTGCGCTCCTTTCCTCCACCGGCGCCAACAGGTGCGCTCCTTTCCTCCCCCCTCCTCACTGCATGCTGCTTCAACTGCATCCAGCATCCACAAGCCCCACCTCTTCCTCCCCCCTCCCACAGTCCTCGCTTGTTCCTCCTCCTGCAGATCACATACCAAAGCTTCATTTTTTATGTCACGCATTGCACCCTCTGCTTCTCTCCCTTGCCCTCCCTTGCCCTCCCTTGCCCTCCCTTGCCCTTCCATGCAGCTACTACATCCTGCAGGTGATCGAGGACGACAAGTCGCCCCGGTGCCACGTGTTCAGAAAGTGGGGGCGCGTGGGCAACGAGGCCATCGGGGGCAGCAAGCTGGAGCAGGAGAGTCGTGAGCGCGCCATAGGGCTGTTCCAGCGGCTCTTCAAGGAGAAGACAGGCAACGACTGGGATGCGTGGCAGAAGAAAGAAGGCTTTGAGAAGCAGCCGGGGAAGTTCTACCCTCTTGAGATTGTGAGTGGCTTATGCCATCTGTTCCAGCCGCTGCCATAGAGGCAGTGTTAGCTGCAGCAGCAGTGCGAGCAGCTGCCATCCTGTGGCAGATCATGGGTTTAGGATTCAGAGTTAGGGGGTTAGGAGAGGAACTGCACACAGTAGCGTTCAGCAACAATGCGCTTCTTCGCATCTGCTCTCCCCCTTGGGGTGGCAGGACTATGGTGGAGGGGACGAGGAGGAGGAGCAGGGCGGGGCAGTGATGGGAACAAGGAGCAAGCTGGACAAGCGACTGGTGGCGCTGCTCATGATGATCTTCGACCTCAAATCCATCAGGTGCTCACATGCTGGTGCTCACATGCTGGTGCTCACATGCTGGTGCTCACATGCTGGTGCTCACATGCTGGTGCTCACATGCTGGTGCTCACATGCTGGTGCTCACATGCTGGTGCTCACATGCTGGTGCTCACATGCTGGTGCTCACATGCTGGTGCTCACATGCTGGTGCTCACATGCTGGTGCTCACATGCTGGTGCTCACATGCTGGTGCTCACATGCTGGTGCTCACATGCTGGTGCTCACATGCTGGTGCTCACATGCTGGTGCTCACATGCTGGTGCTCACATGCTGGTGCTCACATGCTGGTGCTCACATGCTGGTGCTCACATGCTGGTGCTCACATGCTGGTGCTCACATGCTGGTGCTCACATGCTGGTGCTCACATGCTGGTGCTCACATGCTGGTGCTCACATGCTGGTGCTCACATGCTGGTGCTCACATGCTGGTGCTCACATGCTGGTGCTCACATGCTGGTGCTCATGATGATGTTGGGCCTCAAATCCATTTGGTGCTGCTGTGACTCTGGATTATATTCTCTACGTGCTTGCTCTCAAGTGTCACACCACTCGTCCCAGTGATCCCATGTGTCAGTCTCTACGCCCACTGCCCACTGCACTCGCCCCTCTCTCTCCCAGCCATTTCAATGAACCCCCTCCTCTTTTCCTTCCCTCTCGCCTGCCGCACCGCTCCTCACCGCACAGCGCACGGCACTGAGGCAAGCTGGGCAAGCTCACCAAGCGCACATCGAGGTCATCCCCCCTTCTTCCTAGACAGCTCAAAACTCCCCTCCCCTTCCCCGCACCCCTCCCATTGTGCACGCTCCTGGCTGGCAGGGAGGCGATGGTGGAGTTTGAGATCAACGTGCGGGAGATGCCTCTAGGCAAGCTGACCAAGCGCCACATAGAGCGCGGCTTCCACGTGCTCACGGACGTGCAGGCCGCCCTGCAGCTGCCGCCCGACTCCACCGGGCGGCGGGAGAGCGCCATCGTGGATGCGTCGAACCGCTTCTTCACTCTCATCCCCACCGTCAACCCCGCTGCCATCCGCACACTCGAGGCTCTCACCACCAAGGTGCGTGCACCACCAGCATGGAGTGCATGGAATCCACTCTTGCTGCTGCTACCGCTTCTGCTGCTATGATTGCACTGTGTTGTGACCCGATGCAGCCTGCTGCATGTACTAAGTACGCCTGTGTCCTGATGTGCTCTTTGTGTGCTGTGGCGTGTGTGGCATGCCATTTGCGCCCGGCCATGTGTTTGCATGTGTGCCATGGGAGGCACGCAGATCCGCATGCTGGAGGCGCTGAGGGACATGGAGGTGACCTCCACGCTGCTGAGTGCGAGCAAGGGGGCGGGCGAGGGCGAGGGCGGGGAGAAGGAGGACCCGGTGGACCGGCACTACCGCCAGCTGCAGTGCGGGCTGTCGCCCCTGGACCCCACCGATGCTGACTACTCGCTTGTCAAGGAGTATTTGCACAAGACGCATGCTCCCACTCACAAGGTGCCTCTTAGGCTCACACACACACAGGGCCGTGCATGCACACATTCTGCTCCATGACATGTCCCTCCGTGCCTCTTCATCCCTCCTATGTTCCTCATGCCATACCCATGCCGCGTGTACCACACGGGCCGTGTGTGCTGTCCTGTGTTCGCGTGCATGGGCAGGAGTGGGAGCTGGAGCTGCTGGATGTGTTCCGTGTGGATCGCAGTGGGGAGAAGCAGGCATTCCGTGCCGACATCAAGAACCACATGCTGCTGTGGCACGGTATGCTCACATGCTGCTGTGGCACGGTATGCTCACATGCTGCTGTGGCACGGTATGCTCACATGCTGCTGTGGCATGGTATGCTCACATGCTGCTGTGGCACGGTATGCTCACATGCTGCTGTGGCACGGTATGCTCACATGCTGCTGTGGCACGGTATGCTCACATGCTGCTGTGGCACGGTATGCTCACATGCTGCTGTGGCACGGTATGCTCACATGCTGCTGTGGCACGGTATGCTCACATGCTGCTGTGGCACGGTATGCTCACATGCTGCTGTGGCACGGTATGCTCACATGCTGCTGTGGCACGGTATGCTCACATGCTGCTGTGGCACGGTATGCTCACATGCTGCTGTGGCACGGTATGCTCACATGCTGCTGTGGCACGGTATGCTCACATGCTGCTGTGGCACGGTATGCTCACATGCTGCTGTGGCACGGTATGCTCACATGCTGCTGTGGCACGGTATGCTCACATGCTGCTGTGGCACGGTATGCTCACATGCTGCTGTGGCACGGTATGCTCACATGCTGCTGTGGCACGGTATGCTCACATGCTGCTGTGGCACGGTATGCTCACATGCTGCTGTGGCACGGTATGCTCACATGCTGCTGTGGCACGGTATGCTCACATGCTGCTGTGGCACGGTATGCTCACATGCTGCTGTGGCACGGTATGCTCACATGCTGCTGTGGCACGGTATGCTCACATGCTGCTGTGGCACGGTATACTCGCCAGCGAGTAGTCCGCACTGCGCTGGTGTGGTTATGTTAACAATGTGCACACTGGATCACACTCGTACGGCCATCGCCCAACCTTTTCTTTGCAGGTTCGCGAGTGACCAACTATGTGGGCATTTTAAGTCAGGGCCTACGCATTGCACCACCGGAGGCACCTGTTACCGGTTACATGGTATGCATAATGCGCCCCTGCTGCACACTGTTCTGATGTGCCGCTCTGCTGCCACCATTCTTGCGTTGTGTATTCCTCCCGCATGCCCCTGTGCCACCATCCCTAGCTGTCCCACTGCACATGCTGCTTCCTCCCCTCCTCCCCCTCCCTCCCTCTCTGCGTGGCAGTTCGGCAAGGGGGTGTATTTCGCGGACCTGGTGAGCAAGAGCGCGCAGTACTGCTTCACCAGCCCGGACAGCAACATCGGCCTGCTGCTGCTCTCCCGTGTCGCGCTCGGCGCTCTCTATGAACTCACTTCCGCCGAGGTCAGTGCTGCCTTCACCCACTCGCTGCAGCTCAGGTCAGCGCTGCACTCATCTCAATGTCCGTCAAAGTGGTGGTGCATGGATATGGAACAAGCACAATCATCTCACTATCTCCCCATCCGCTCCACGCTTTTCTCTCAAGCTTCCATTTCCACCACTCTCACAGTCGCCTTGCTTGCTCCGTTTCCATATCCTGCTCCTGCTGGCACCTCCACATTCTCTCATCTCTCCTTGTGATGCTGCCTCTCCTCCATGGCCTTCAGTACGTGGAGAAGCTGCCACGGGGCAAGCATGCGACCAAGGGGCTGGGCATGATGAAGCCCAAGGAGGAGGAGTTTGTCAAGTGGGCCTCTGATGTCGTCGTGCCTTGTGGCAAGCCCGTGCCTTCTGGGGTCAAGAACAGCCACCTGCGATACAATGAGTTCATTGTCTACGATACATCACAGGTACTGTATACAATGCTGTTCACGTGTTTGTTGCGTTGTATGTTCTGCAATTTCTGCAAGGACGGGTTTCCTAACGCATTTGCATTCACTTTTCCTGTTGGAAATGTTACAGATTCAATTGGAGTTTCTCCTCAAAGTGAAGTTCATCCACAAATAGTGATGGAGGTGGTTTGTTTTGGCATACTGGTTGGCCTTGCATGGCCATTAACAACTAACGCCCATCCCCCCCCCCCCCCCCCCCCCCCCCGACTTGCCCTTCGCTAGCCATTCATGTGAGTGCTGCTTGGCTGTCTGAATTGTGCGTGAGTGGGAGTGATCGCGAATACCATATATTGTACACAATAAGATATGTGAAATTATTGATGGTAATGGGGGAACCAGCGAGCCACCCTACCCTGTCGTTCGAGACGAAGCCCAAAAAGACGGTCTACCGAATCTGTCAAGCACACTTCTCTGGACAATGCTATCCAACCTGTGTGCTTGGCTTGTCATGCCACAGCATGACTTCCCATGGCAGGCATCGCATGCCATGTATGGATCCATGGTAACGGAATAAGGGTGCCGGAGTCGCGTATTTTCGCCAAGTGTGGCGAAACTGGTTGCGAAACATACCCCAGTTTTGCAGCACGATCCCCCAGCCACGAATTCTGCCGCGCTCCGGAGTTCGCAAGAAGAAAAGTTCTTGGGAGTTGCGCAGCAAGGATCATCAAATTCACCTTGCTTGCATCAATTGGACCTCTTTTCTTTCCTCGCTGCGTCGAGCGCCACCACACAGCCTCGCGTTGGGCTCTACGATCGCACGCGAGCCGACACCACCGCCTACCCTCGCGCACGAATTCACTCTTTTCTCCTCCACCCGCACGTCTCGCGATGGATCAGCTGGCGGCGGTGCTGCAGCAGCTGCTGCTGCCGGACAACGAGTCGCGCAAGGCGGCGGAGGCGGCGTTCAAGCAGCTGTCCAAGGATCCCGCCGTGCTGCTCGCGCTGCTGCACTTCCTCAAGGCGGGCCCCTCGCCCGACGTGCGCCAGCTCGCCGCCGTGCTCATGCGCAAGAAGGTCGCGGGGCTGTGGGCGCAGCAGCCCGCGGAGGCCAAAGCCAGCATCAAATCCGCGCTCCTTGAGAGCATCGCGCTCGAGCCCAGGTCCGGATCCCGTTCCGTCACCGTCTGAGTTCGAACCCCGTTCCGTCGGCCTCCGGCATTGTCGCCGCTTAGGCGCATGTGGTGTTACGAGTAGCGAGCTCACGAGTAGGGCAAGGGGCGCGGCTGATGGATCGAGCTAACCAAACCTTGCGCTCTAGGAATCGAGTTTCAGAGTTGCGGAGCTGTGAAGTGCGGGGCTCGATCGCACCCCTCATCTGGCAGATCACGGTCATGTCATGCTGCTCGTCAGATAGTAGCGTCCCCTCCATTCCTCGCCGTGTCTCCTGACCGCGCATTCCTCGCTCCCGTGTCGTGCCCCACCATGATGCAGCCCTGTCGTGCGTCGGGCGAGTGCTGACGTGGCGAGCGTGATCGCGAAGCACAGCGTGCCTAACGGCGAGTGGCCGGAGCTGCTGCCGTTCCTGCTGCAGTGCTCGCAAGGGCAGCAGGAGGACCACCGCGAGGTGAGCCCTCAACGCACCATGCGCCGCGCCAAATGCGCACTGCGCCTCCGCCGCTTCCATTCCCCCCGCCGTTCGCTCTTCCACTGCGCCCTTCACCTGTAAATTCCCCATCTCCGGGTCCGCTCTCTGCTCCTCCCCTCCCGCTTCCCCTCTCCGCTCCTCCCCTTCCCCCCGCAGCTGGCGTTCATTCTGTTCGCGGCGCTGGTGGAGACGATCGGCGACGTGCTGCGCCCGCACTTCCCCGCGCTGCACGGCATCTTCGTCGCGGGCCTGCGCGACCAGGCCAGCGCCCGAGTGCGCGTCGCCGCGCTCAAGTGAGTGCCCCGCGCGCAGCACCCCCCGCATAGTTGCCCCACGCGCACCGTTCCCGCTGCTCGAGCTACCTGGTCGTCGGATACTGTCACTGTCCCCCCCGGTTGCCCTCCCCCTGGCTTCAAATTCACACATGTGCACCTCCCCTGTGGGTGGGTGGCTGTGCGTGGCTGTGCGTGCGCAGGGCAGTGGCGGCGTTGGTGGAGTATCTAGACAGCGAGCAGGACGTGGTGAGTTCCGCGCATGCGCACTGTGCGCGCATGTAGCGCATAGCATTGGCGCTGATCCTTTCCTGCCTCTCTCCCTTCGCCATCCCATGCACTCGGCCGCTCCGGCCCTTCTCCGCTCACTCCTATCAACTCCCTCCCCTCTTCACTCCGCCACCCTCTCTCCCCCTTCCCTCGTCCCCTTCCGCCTAGGCGCTGATGCGCGACCTGGTGGCGCCGATGCTGGACGTGGGGCGGTTCTCGGCGGGCAGCGGCGACGAGGCGACGGTGGTGCGCGTGTGCGAAGTGGTGACGGAGCTGGCGGAGCACCCCGCGCCCGTCATCGCGCCCTCGCTGCCCGCCGTCATCCAGTTCGCGCTTGAGCTCGCCAGCAACACGCACCTCGAACCCGCCACTCGCTTCCAGGTGAGGCGCCACTGCAGCGCAGCAACTGGCACAAATGGCACAGCTGAGGAGATGAGGCAGATGAGGCAGAGAACGCCAGAAAGGGAATGTTAACGAGGTGCACGACCAGCATGAAGAAAACTCGTTCCGCTGTCAATCATGGTGAATGCAAACTGACACGTCGTCCGGCACTCCGTGCTGTGTTGGTCTCCGCGGTGCAGGCAGCGCAGGTGGTGGCGTGGTGTGCGGCGTGGAAGGCCAAGTGGTTGGCGAAGCAGAAGCTGGTGCCTGTCATCCTGGCGGCCATGGCACCGCTGCTCGCCGAGCCCTGCGGCCAGACGGACTCGGAGCAGGACGAGGAGTACGATACCTCGCCCATGCGCTTTGCCGCCCAGGTGACCTCTCGCCCATGCGCTTTGCCGCCCAGGTGACCTCTCGCCCATGCGCTTTGCCGCCCAAGTGACCTCTCTCCCATGCGCTTTGCCGCCCAGGTGACTGCCTTTCCACGCCCCCCTGCCAAATTCCCCTGGGCCACACACACAGTGTCCACAAAGGCCCTGCGCATGAACTCTTTTCCGTTCCCACACCTGCAACCCAACTTCCCCCCAACCCCCCTCTCACCGCCCCTCATCCCACTCTCACGGCCCTTTTCCAACGCCACCTCCAACTCCCCTTCACCCGGCGTCTTCACCCTGACAGGCCATAGACGCGGTGGCAATGGAGGCGCCGCGCAAGCACGTGTTCCCGCCCATCCTGGCGTTCGCCCGCGCGCACATCACGGACACCAACCCCCACATGCGCTACGCCGCTGTCATGGCCATGGCTGTCATCACCGAGGGGTGCTGGTGAGTGCAAAGGGGTGCAAAGGCGTGCTGGTGAGTGCAGGAGGTGCTTGTGTGTGCAAAGGTTTGCTGGTGAGTACAGAATGGTACTGGTGGGCGCAGGGGTGCACTGCAGGGGGGTGCTGGTGAATGCAGGGAGGAGCTTGTGAGTGAAGGAATGCACGGGTCGTTTTTGAGGCGCCTCAAAAACGACCTCGAAGAATGCAGGGAGGAGCTTGTGAGTGAAGGAATGCACGGGGGTTGCGGGCTTGTCGGTGTGCTCCTCGTGCTTTCTCTCACACCCCCACCCTTTTTTCCTCGCGTCCTTGCTCCCTGCTTCCCCACTCCCCCCCAGTGAGGCAGTGCGGGGGCGGCTGGAGTCAGACGTGCTGCCGCTCATAGTGGCGGGGCTGGGCGACGTGCACCCCAAGGTGCGAGGAGCGCTGTGCTTCTCGGCTTCTCATTTCTCGCCCTCCGCTCCCCCGTGGGGAGTCCCCCCATTCCTGTCCTTGCAGTGAGGCAGTGCGGGGGCGCCTTGAATCAGACGTGCTGCCGCTGATAGTGGCGGGGCTGGGAGACGCGCACCCCAAGGTGCGAGGGGCGGCATGCTTCGCGGTGGGGCAGCTGTCGGAGTTCGTGCAGCCCGAGGCATCAGAGCACTACAAGACAATCCTGCCAGCTGTCTTCGCCGCCCTCAATGACGCCTCGCCCGTTGTCAGGGTGAGTGTAAAGGGCGGGGTTAGATGAAATGAAATTCGGAAGGAAGCTCGGAATCATTCTGATGTGCTAGGCTGCATGATTGATGTCGACGTGAGGTGCTGTACTCAGTTTTGTGCCTCCCTCTCAATCTCTGCTTTCTCTCCTCCTCTCCTTCCCTACCTCCCTCCCATCCTCCTGCCTCTCCCATTCCCTCCACTCCTGCTCAGGAGAAGGCATACTACGCGCTAGCAGCGTTCTGTGAGCACATGGGGGATGAGATCCTGGAGTTCCTGGACCCGCTCATGCGCCAACTCATGGACGCCCTGCGCTCACCCGACCGCGACCTGCAGGAGATGTGCATCGTGAGTGCCATGTGGTGGAATGTGGTGGAATGTGTGGTGGGATGTGGTGGGATGCTACTTGATGCAACGTGTTGCGGAGCGATGAGACGTGATGGGGTGTGTGGCTACTCATTGCATGCATCCATACATACCTACACGAATGGCGGCTTCCCTTCCCCAGCATCACTCCTCCTCCCTAACTCCTCCATCCTCCCAACTCTCATTTCCCAACCTTCTTAATCACCCCCCATTCAAACCCCTCCCGTCCTCCCGCTCTCCCTCCCCCGCCATAGGTTCGGCAGCAGCGGGCTCCAAGTTTTCACCCCCCTCCTCCCCCCCATCCCCTCCCTTCCCCTCTCTCCCCCGGCAGTCCGCCATAGGATCAGCAGCAGCAGCAGCAGGGCCCAAGTTCGCGCCCTACAGCGATGCAGTGCTGGCGGCGCTCATCCCGCTCGTGTCCCTCACTGCCGAGGCGGACGTGGACGTGCGGTCGCGAGCGTACGAGCTGGTGGGCATCATTGGGATCGCTGTGGGGCGCCAAGCCGTGGTGCCCGTGCTGCCCGGCTTCATGGACGCTGCACTCAAAGTGAGGGGAATGGGGGGACAGTTGAGGGGATCGTGGTGTGAACGCCAGTAGGCTGCAAGCAGTGTGGGTGTGAGCTGGTGGGCATCATTGGGATTGCTGTGGGGCGCCAAGCCGTGGAGCCCGTGCTGCCTGGCTTCATGGACGCCGCTCTCAAGGTAGGAGGGGTGGGGGGGCAGTTGAAAACGGGGAGGGGGGGGTTGTTATGTATTTGACAGGCTTCACACCGCTGCGCTACCTTGTTCACCCACCACACGGAATCTGCCATGCCATGCACCACAACCCACACCCCTCACCCATCTCCCGTCTCCCATCTCCTATCTTCCGTCCCCAATCTCCCATCTCCCATCCCCCATCCCCCATCTCCCATCCCCCGTAACCCATCCCCTTCCACCATGGCAGGGGTTCGCCCTGGATCAGAGTGCGTTGAGGGAGTACGCGCACAGCTTCTTCAGCGACGTCGCCAAGTTCCTCGAAGCTGACTTCGCCCCCGTGAGTACTGTGCAGCCCCCCTCAGCCCCCCTCAGCCCACCGAGCCCACCTCAGCCCACCTCAGCCCACCGAGCCCACGTGATTTGCCGCCTGCATCCCCGTGCCTGCACGCTCTCCTTTCACCATTGCCCCATCCACACACTTCTCCCATGCTCGCTGACTTCAAATCAATCTTCATGCCTCTCACACTCCACCACCCTCGTCTTCCCCCTCTCCTCCCTGCCCCTCCCTCCCCCCCTCCTGACCAGTACCTGCAACACGTGGTGCCGCTCGCCTTCTCCTCCTGCCGCCTCGACGATGGCATCGTGGTCGGCCCAGCAGCCACCGACGACGATGCCGCCGACGCGGAGGGCGGCGGGCGGCGGCAGCTAGCGGCGGCGCTGGCGGCAGGGGAGATCTCGTCTGATTCGGAGGACGAGGACGAGGGGGCGGCGTTGAGGGGTCTGCGGGGCATCAGTGTGCGCACGGCCGTGCTGGATGAGAAGGCGGCTGCTGCTCAGGCCATCGGCGCGTATGCTCAATACACCAAGGCTGCCTTCGGCCCGTGAGTGCACTGCTGGGGTGTGGTGCTGCTGCTGGTCTGCATGATTGCAGTGCGTGCATGCTATAGACCTCTGTTTTAAGCAGAGAGCAGTGCGTGGTTGGGGTTGAATCAACAGTAACTACCACACCCTCTTCCAACCCCTCCCCCTTGCCACTGATGCTCCAGGTACGTGCAGGAGGCGGTGGGGGTGCTAAAGGACGGGGCGGACTACGCGCATGAGGACGTGCGCCTGCAGGCCACGCTCTCCCTGCAACGTCAGTGCCCCCCTCAACCCGCCCCCCCCTTTTCCACTCCCTGCCCTCCCTCCGCCCTCCTCCTTCCGCCTTCTGCCCTCCGCCCTCCGCCCTCCGCCCTGCATCCACTGCCCAGCACCTGCCTCCAACCAAGCATGCCCAGCGTGCAGCATGTAACTCACCTTTCGCTCTATCCGTCTCACTTTCGCCGTCCGCTTAACTTTCTTGGCCGTCACGGCAGCCCTCACAGCAACGTCTGCTCTTTCTCCCCCCCACAACAGACCTGGTGACAGCAGCGCTGCATGCCTTCCCATCCGCCCCGGGCCAGGTACGCTCCATGCCATCCCACTACAGCGGCTGGCTGCTGCTGTGAATGCTGCCGTGCCATGCTCTCTCTCTCTGTTGCTTCAACCATGTCCTCTCCCTTGTGCGTGCGCCACCCCCCTTGTGCCGCGTGCCTCGTTGTGCATGGTATGCCACACACACATCGACCATGCGTGCGGCTCTGCTCTGCTATGCTCTGCTGTGCTGTGCGTGCTGCGGCCACGGCCACCAGCCAATGAGCGCGGAGACAAAGCATGTCTTTGGTGAGCCTCATGACCGCCCACCTCGCCTTCACCTTCATCCTCGCCCCTTGCTCTGCCTTTCCTATTTGCCCATTCCCTCCTTGTTCACTTATCCACTACGCACTAGCACACGTGTTGCCACCACCCTCCCATCCACGCCTCTCACAGCGTTCCTTTCCACTCGTTATACTCTGCATGCTGCCCCTCAACCCTCCCCCTGATTCTCTTCCTCCCCCTACACCTCTCTCCACCTCCCTCAACCCATCAGACGTGTCAATGGAGGTGTGGATGGGGGCGATGAGGGATGACGAGGAGCGCACAGTGGTGGGGCAGGCCTTCAGCTGCGCCACTGAGACCATCAAGGCACTTCTTGCCGCTGACCCGGCCAACCAGCCAGCCCTGTTGCCATGTGAGTCAATCGCCCTCCTCAGTGCACTGCTTTGTGAAGCATCTCAAAGGCAAACGACAAGGAGCGTGCATGCAGTGGTGGGGCAGGCGTTCAGCGGCGCCGCTGACACCATCAAGGCACTGCTGGCTGCAGAAGCCGCCAACCAGCCGGCCCTGTTGCCCTGTGAGTCACTGCCACTTGTACTGCGATTGCGCATGTGGGCTGCCGGTTGCCGATGACAGCATCTAGCAGGTCACCACGCCATGTGGGTCACTGAGAGGGGTTAGCAACCCATCCGCCTGTGCTGGGGGAAGCTGCTCGCTTGCTCTGCAATCTGTTCTGCACCCATCCCCTGCTCCTCAACTCTCTCACTCCCTCGCTTTCCCTCCACCCTCCAACCATCGTCCCCTGACCCACCCCCTACCAAACCCACCTCCTCTTCCCAACGCATCCCTCGCCCTCCCCCCTGTCAGACGCGGAGCCTCTGGTGGCAGCGGTGCGAGCAGCACTGCGGGACGAGCTGCCCTGCCAGCGAGCAGCCAGCGACGCGGAGACGGGCGGTGAGGGGGCAGCGGGGTTGACAGAGGCGGCGGAGGAGGAGGAAGAGGAGGAGGAGCACGACGAGGAGCTCATGGACGCCGCTGTGGACCTGCTGCCCGCTGTGGCGCGTGCCGTGGGCGCTGCTGCCTTCGCCCCTGTCTTCCACTCGCTCCTGCCTGACATCCTCGCCTTCACAGTGCCCCCCGCTACCGCCCTCGCTCCCTACCTCCCTCCTTCCCTTGCTCCATTGCAGTTTTGCTCACTCGCGGTTTCATGCTCTTGCTCGCTGTGGCATGCATGGGCTGGCTATGGGCCACTGCCTGTGCCCTCCCTTGGCACTTGTTTCACCAGTCTTCACGCACATGATCTACTCTCCCTCCCTGCCTTGCTCCCTCCTTCCTCACTCCCCCTGTCACCTCTCACACTCTCCAGTCTCTTTGTCACTCAGCCTTGCTTCGTCTCTCACACCGTCCTCACCCCTCGTCCCCTCTCCATCCCTTCGCCTCTGACCTCTCCCTCATCCCCTCTTCCTCTCTTCCCCCTGGCCCATTGCTCACTCGAGCAGAAAGCATCTTGCCCGCCCAGCGATCGCAGCATGGCAGTGGGCTGCATTGCTGATGTGGCAGGGGAGCTGGGGGAAGCCATGGCTCAATATGTGGACGTGAGTGCCCGTGGGATTGGGTGCAGCATGGGTGTGGCATGCATTTGCTCTCCGGTGGGGTGTGTTGCAGTGCTGCGGTTGTGTAGTGCCCATCCATTGCCTCTTCCCCTTCCTCCACTACCCCTCGACCTAATCGCACAGCACACTCATCACCCATCCTGCACACTCATCACCCATCCTGCACACTCATCACCCATCCTGCATCCCTCTCCTCTCACTCCCCTCGTCCCCATCTCTCATCTCGCCCTCCACCCCCCCCTCACCCACGTGCAGGCGCTACTGCCCGTGCTGGCATCGGAGCTGAAGGGCGGAGACCCCCCCAACCGCCGCAACGCTGCCTTTGCCGTTGGCAAGCTGGCTGAAGTGTCGGGTGCTGCCATGCACAGGTGGGTGCTGCCATGCACAGGTGGGTGCTGCCATGCACAGGTGGGCGCTGCCATGCACAGGTGGGCGCTGCCATGCACAGGTGGGGCAGCGGGAGCGAAACTGTTTCCAGAACACGCCTTGTGCTGCTCCACACGACCACCTCACTGTCGTTTCATTTCACTCTCATGCTACCCTCATGCCTCGCATCCTGTCGGTGTTTTATACATGCACGGCCCAGGCAGGCACTCCCCGCCTGCTGCTGCCACTCACTTCACTCTCATTCCCTCCCTCGCCCTTGCACATGTCACCTCATGCCACTTCCCCTTCCCCCCATGTCTTTCCCCACCCCGCCCCCAGGCACTACTCGGACATCCTGCTGGGGTTGCACCCGCTCTTCTCAGCGGACGAGGATGACGACGTCAGGGACAACGCTGCCGGCGCTGTCGCCCGCATGATTGCTTCTGGTGGCGCTGCCATGCCTCTTGACCAGGTCCGTATGCTGCCATGCCACTTGACCAGTCCTGATGTTGCTCACTCCCTGCCAGTGGAGGAGATTTGTTCACTGCCATGCCATGAACAAATGTGCCTCCAGAAACTACTCCAGTCGAGAGTTCTTTCCAACTTACATCTCTCCTTGGCCACTCATCCGCTCCCCCCCACTGCCCCTCCCGCCCACCAGGTGCTGCCAGTGCTGGTGGCGGGGCTGCCACTCAAGTCAGACCTGGAGGAGGCCAAGCCAGTGTACGGCTGCCTCGTCGCCCTCGTTGCCGCCTCGCACCCCCAGGTATCTACTTGCATCAAGCCCCACCACAAGTCATTCACTTGCGACGCCACCCTTTTATATCGTGTCACAAGTCATGGCTCCCGTTCACACTACCTTTCTCGTGTGCTTGTGCTGCACACACCGTGCTGCTTTTTGCAGATCTTGCCAGTGGTGCCGCAGTTGGTGCCTGTATTCGCAGAGGTGGCGGTTAACGATAAGATCGCACCGGAAGTGCGTCTCTCCGTGGGCCAAGCCTGCTCCCAGCTCGCCCAGGCCTTCGCAGATCAAATGCAGCCACTCCTTGCAGCTCTTCCTAGTGACCGTGCTGCTGCTCTTTCCTCCTGTATGGCTGGCACCTTGCCTCCTGCATCCAGTTAGAGGCTGCAAGACACAACATAATAGATCTCTTCTGTAGTAGTAGGTATGAAGGTAGTCATCCTCTAGGTAGGTTTGAGTTGAATAGGAAGCATTGAAGTAGGTTTTGTCAACTACTACTCCTGTAGGCGCACATAGAGATTGTATTTTCAACGTGAAAGGAAGTGAATATCGTTATTTTACACAATTAGGGATTTCAGTTTCCAAATGTCGGCTTGTAAGTGGACCACCGCCAGCAGCGCGATGAGGTGCCCTTTTTCCTCCCGCTGAATTGGAGTCCATGCCTTGGGAATACCAAGCCGCGCACTGACGTGTACCAAACTCCTCGATTTCCTCAATCGCCCTGAAGAAGCTTCTTCAAGCGGAATTCAGGAATGCGCAATCTGACGTGGCGCCCTGCCTCATCCTGTCAGGCAATCTCCTCCCTCTCCGCTTCGCCCTCTGCTCTCCCTTGTATCATCACCTGCTGTTTTCCTTCGCGCAAGCAGCATCATTCTGCACTGCATCAGACGGATCATTACACGATTGTAGGGGCGTCTCTCGCGTTTCTTGCGTCGTAACCGCCAAGTCACCAATTCTCCGTCGCCACGAGCATCGAGCAACGATGGCTGCCGCGTGCTCCTCGTGCGCCATTCAGGCGGCAAACTTATGCTTAGTGGAGCGAGGGTCGCAGTCCACGGCCGTTAGGGCTCCCAGAGTGCAGGTGAGCAAGCATTCGTGCACCGCTTAGCTTCTTCGTCTTGCGATTTCATCCAATGTAACGTACGCGCTAATTTCACAACGTGTTTTCGCGTCCACCGATCTTTCCGTGTCGTGCAGGCCGCATTCCTCGGCCAAACTCTCGGCTTGATAGCGCACGCGGCGATTGGCAGCCAGAAGGTGCCCTCCACGGGAATTCAGGTATGGATTCCAAGCATCGCGCACAAATTTGATGTATCTCGCGACGCGTGATTGCATTCACTGGCTACTGTGGAACTTTTGAGTCGTCGCAGAATTCATCTTGTGACGCTCACATGCACTGCTGATGGTTTTCCTGCGACAAATTCTGTTCTATCTCACTCGCTTATGAGTATTCTTTCCTCCCATCCCATCGCTCCCCTGGATCAGCTCGTGGCGGCAGCGGCGGTGAGGGGTGTCAGGTGCAGCGCAGCGGCAGCAGCGGAAGCTGGTAAGTGCAGATGGCAGGCTCTCTCCGCTTTGCACTGCTATTCTCTCGCATACGATCCCCATCATGCCTCCCTACCCCGCATACGCACCCTCCTCGCATCCCGACCCTTGCATGCCGCACCATGCCCACCAGGTCGCATGTACCGTCTTCCTTGCTGGATGCTCCTCTCCACCCTTCTACCCTTCCAAACTCCCGAAGCCCCCTCGCCCCCACACTCGCTTTAACCTTTCCTCGCCGTTAATTGCTGAATTGTGCAGACCCGGAGCTGACGCCTAAAGGGACTCAAATCTTCCCCATCTCGCCCTTCCTTCCAACCTCCAGTTTCCGCCACTCCAGCGGTGCGCCCGTCCGCGGCGGAGTTGGCGCAGACGGTGGTGGAGCTGGCGGCGGAGGGCACGCTCGTCACGCTCGCGCACGGCGGCGCGGGCAGCACGCTCGCGGGCGACGACCAACCGCTGCCCGCCACGTGGCCGCTGGCCTGCCACGCGTTCTTCGCGCCCGATCCCGAGGGCCGCCCCATCGTGCTGCTCGCCGACTCGAGCCGCGCCGCCGCCAACCTCGCTGACGACGCGCAGGCGTGCCTACACGTGCAGGTAAGGGAGAGACTAAGAGGCGCGCGTGAAGGTGCAGGTAGGGGGAAGTCAAATTCAATGAAAGCACACAATCACACACACGTGCAATGGTAAGTGAGAGGTAAGCGGGTGGGGGGAGTGCATCGCTGCATTGAAACAATGGTCAGATTATCCAGTGCGCACACGCACTAATGGCTCTGTACCATGTGCCCAGCCGCCCTTTATCTACGCGCTCACTCGCAGTAATGGCCACATTGTCAGAAACCTCATTTCTACTACCCATCTCACTCCCACTGCTCACAGTTGCGTCTCGCGTGGTGTCACGGCCCTCACCCTCCACCCCAATCCCCCTTCTCCCTTTTCTCGGCCCATGCTGATTGACAGATCGAGCTGCCAGGTCAGCAAAAGCCGCAGGTGTCGCTGCATGGACGGCTGACCAAGGCACACGACGGCAAGACGCTCGGGGTGAGTGAACATCGTTCATGGGGGGTAGTGAGCCAAGCGAAAGCGTGGCTAACGCACAGGGATGCGTCAAGGCAATTGCACATGCACGTGTTCTGCCACAGATTTCAGGTGTCTCGATGCACAAAGAACAGTATTTATGCCCACATTTGCACATCTACGCCACGCCAACCTCGGCCACTTGTTCACACATGCATGCACCCACGCAGCCGTGCACGGCATGTCCTCTTTCACTCCGCGTCCTTTCAGGGCCCTACTGCTACCATTACCTAAAATTCCCTCGTACCCTACCCCACTCCCTCCCCTCCCCCCACACGCCAGAAGCTGGAGGCGGCGTGGAGGCGGCGCTTCCCCGACAGTGAGGACGATGCGGGCAGCAGCGACGGCTCTGCCTCCTCCGCGCTCTTCCTGCTGGACGTTGACCGCGTGCTCGTGGCGCCAGACGCTGACCAGGTGAGTGAGGTGGCAAGTGTGGGTGTGTGCGGAATGGTTACTCGATGGCAGCAGCGACGGCTCGGCCTCCTCTGCTCTCTTCCTGCTGGACGTTGACCGCGTGCTCGTGGCGCCAGACGCTGACCAGGTGAGGAAAGTCGAGGGTTGAGATGGTGTGGGTGTGGGTGGTTGCTTGCAAAGGGGTTGCGCATAGCAGCACCTACCTATCACACCCAATCAGCCAACCCACCTAACACTTCTTTGCCTCTCACCACCCTCACCACCACACCCACCAGGAAGGCGAGTGGATCTTCTTAGAAGCCTATTTCTACACTGTGCACATACCACACCTAGTCATTCAAACTCGCACCACACTGCTCTGCCCCCATCGCTCCCACCAACCCCAACCCCTCTCCCCCACCATCCCCGCCTCACAGGAGGGCGAGTGGATCTCCCCTGAGGCCTACCTGAACGCGGACGCCGACCCTCTCCGTGAGGTGGCAGCAGGCATCGTAGCAGACTTCAACCGCGAGCACTGGCAGGACCTGCGCCGCTTCCCCGCCGCCTTCGCCGGCCTCCCAGACCTCCAGGTGGACGACGCGTCGCTCATCTGGGTTGACCGCCTCGGCTTTGACCTCCGCGTGCTCGCCCGCCCCGCCATGCCTGGTGCTGCGGCTGCAGCTGATTTCCCCGCGAGGGTGATGGATGTGCGCGTGGCGTTTGCACGGGAGGTGGGGGAGGAGCGGGAGGCGCGGTCCGCGCTGACCATGATGGCGCAGGTGGCGTGGGAGAGGGAGAGGAGCTTTGGCAGCCCGGTGGCTCCCGCTGCTGCTGCTGAGGCTGCTTCCTCGTAGGTCCGTGTGTCATACAGGAGAGCTGGCTGGGGTGTATGTATCGCTTGGTCTTATTTTTGTGGTTAGAGCAGAGAGATAAAGAATTGAGCTGGGCTAGTGCATGGATCATGGAAGCTCTTAACCCAAATGTAACATGATGAGTATTTGTAGTGGTACAGGGGCGGCTCATGTTGGGACCGACATTTACCAGTAGTATGGCTTGTAACTACTGGTAGTTCTGCTGTGGCAGCTTATTGGCCTTACTGATAATTTGAGCACTCTCATTCAATGATATCTGCATCAAAGCGGCACTCAGTGACAATCTGGCTTGGTGCCGTGCATGAAACACACAGAACCACTCGTTGAGCACACACGCACCACATTACTCCATAACGGGGCTAGGGCAAGGGCTGACATTGGGACAAGCCACAAAGCCATCATCCTGTGAGTGGGACCCGCGTGCCTTCACCTATCTAGAGCCAATGTGGGTGCACAAGCGGCAGTATTCCTCCCGCTGTGCGTCCATGCTCGGATCTGTGTAGGTCAGGGTCACAGGTCGGGCAGGGTGGGGAGGAAAGGTGGATGGAGGGGTTTGAGTATGAGCACTGGCAGGATTCAGCACGACGTTTAGCCAGGCAGTCACACAAACACGCAGCACTGAAAAGGACCCACGCTTGTGCTAAGCTGCCTGCTGTTCCAACACGCACCTGAGTTGTCCAGACTGGGCGGCAGAGTGATATGGAACAGTGCAGCTTCGGTTCTGCCCAGCAGCTTCACTCCCTGCTGCTTCGCACTCACAAGCAGCGCTCGACCAATCATGTTCCATGCCAGCGTGGCTGCCTCGTCACACACTGCCTCCCTCTCTTCCCTCCTCCTCTCCTCTTCCTCCTCCCTCACTCTCTCCCTCTCCTCTGCTGCTCGCCTTGCTCCACCCTCCCCTCTCCTCCATCTCCCATTCATCTCCCCTTCTGTTTCCCAACCCTTCCCCCTCCCCTGTTCAAACGCATCAGCAGCTGACCGCTTCCTCCCCCCCACCCTGCCAGCTAAAGGCCTCTCATTGGTCGCATGCTGTCTAGCATCCACGTCAGCTGCCAGCGTGGCAGATCCTCCTCCCAAGAAGGCGGACAAACCCCAAGAATCTTCCCTTTCTGTGCTCTGATGCACTGCCTCCGCTGCTGCACCTCCTGTTGTTGTTTCAACTCCTGCTGCTGCTGCACCTCCTGCTGTAACTCCTGCTGCTGCTGCGCCACCTGTCGCTGCTCTGCCATCGCTGGCAGCAGCAGCAATGGTAACAACAGGGTGTGAGAGCGAGAGCAGGGAACTCAGCCACAGCACTGCCTCTAGCGCCCCTCCCACCACCCGCCCCTCCCACCCCTCCCCATCCCCACACTGCTTCCCCTTCCCGCCACCCCCTGCCCTCTCCCTCTCCCTCTCCCTCTCCCCCTCCCCCTCCCCCCTCTGCCCGCCCTGCCGCCCCCTCCTCCCCCTCCCCTGTCCCCCTGCCCGTCCCCCTGCCCTTGTGCCCTGCAGGCACAGCTGGTGGCTCTTCTGGCTGCAGGCGAGCAGAGGAGGCAAGGAAACGACACATGTCCTGGAAGGGATTGGTAGAGGCACGTGGGGGGGGAGGAAAGGAGGAAACAGGGCTGAAAAACACACGGATGGTAAGTTTGAACCTAGAAAAATGAATGCTGGGCTTTAAGTTTAATATTTAGGAGGAGACAAACTTGAGTTAATAGACAGATGGTGGGAACGAGCGTTGAGGGAGAGGTGGTGCCGAGAGAGGTGGTGCCGAGAGAGGTGGTGCCGAGAGAGGTGGTGCCGAGAGAGGTGGTGTGGGAGCAAGAAGTCACGACAGTGATGGGGACGAGGGGGGAGAGAGTGGATACAAGGCATGGGGGGCATGGGGGGCATGGGGGGCATGGGGGGCATGGGGGGCATGGGGGGCATGGGGGGCATGGAGGGCATGGGGGGCATGGGGGGCATGGAGGGCATGGGGCGAGGGAAGGAGGAGGCGTGCGGTGAGAGAGGTAGGAGTTGTGGGTGGGATACCTGGACGGAACAAGGCGAGGTGAGCGCTCTGACGTCCGACTCCAGTAGTGTGCTGTGGGCGTGCGAGCACAGGGGGGGAGGGATAGGGGGCATGGGGGGGATGGGGGGCATAGGAAGGGCATGGTGACACAGGGTGGTCAGGTGGCACACAGTGGCAACGTGCACATGAACAGCCACCCTGAATTGGTTATGGAGGGCGAAGGAGACAGAGCTTTGATACATTCTAGTCCAACGGCTCTGGAAACCCGAGTGTTTGGAGCCAGTGATATAGCTGTAGGCATACCCCTTATAGTAGTACTCGTCAATCTTCTGAAAGACATCAACGTCCTGGGGCCACCGCTGCGCTGCAAGCCTGCGCACACATGCACGCACACACACATGCACGCACCATACATGCACACGAGCCCAAGCACACATACATGCACACGAGCCCAAGCACACACACATGCACACGAGCCCAAGCACACATACATGCACACACACATACATGCACACGAGCCCAAGCACACATACACACAAATATGTGCACGGATGTCATAGTGGGGTAACCCTACCTTTCAGAACCCCCAACCCTATCTCCCCTTACACCTTCTCCCCTTACACCTTCTCCCCTCACACCTTCTCCCCTCACACCTTCTCCCCTCACACCTTCTCCCCTCACACCTTCTCCCCTTACACCTTCTCCCCTTACACCTTCTCCCCTCACACCTACTCCCAATAAAAGCCTGGGCACACCAGAGCTCAAGTCAAAGCTTCCTTTCAACGCCCCATGTCACATAAGCCCCGCTCTGCCGCTTAAAGCCCTCCCCACAACTACTCCTCTTTCTCCCCGAAACCCATCTCCCCTGTATAAACCCTTCTTCCCCCCCAAACCCCCGCCATACCCTCAACCCCTCTCCCCGCCACCCCCCTGCACCCCTCCCCCCCACCCCGCGCGTAACGCACTTGCAGCGCAGGCGGCCCTCCTCATCGGCGCGCAGAAGCTGGTTCGCCAGCGACCGGCACTCCAACGCCACTTCCAGCGGCACGCGCGCTCCTCCGCCTCCCCCGCTTCCGCCCTCCCCGCTTCCGCCTCCCCTGCTGCCGCCGCCCCCCCTTCCGTCTCCCCCGCTGCCGCCTCCCGCATGTCCCGACAATCCCAGCCACTCCTCCCCCAAACCCAGCCCTGCTGCTTCCCGAGCCTCCGCTTCTCGTTCGGGATCATCGTCGCCTCGAGTGGGCTGGTTATATTCGTCGGAGCCCTCCCGTTCTGCTGACGTGTCGCCTACCGATTTGCTGCTGCGCGCTTGCTGCGCGGAAGGTATACTGAAGCCCGGGGAATGCCTAGGCCTGCGATGTGATTCTAACGGGTGCGATTTAACCCGCCCACTTGCATAATAGTCCGCATATTCCTCAACTCCCCCGTCTCTCCGCAAGTCATCCTCTCCCCCCATGCTTCCGCCATCGTCCCCGTACTCGTCGCTACCCCCATATGCGTCCGCGTCCTCCTCTTCCCCCGCGCCATTCCCCCGGGCGGACAGACAGCGCAACCTGCGCGCACCGATGGAGCGGGAGGGGGAGAAGCGAGAAGGAGAGAAGCGCGGAAAGGCTGCAGCGGCGGAGGGGGAGGGCGGGGAAGGCGGTCCGCGCGGGTAATCGCGGTGGGAGGCGGAGGGGGAGACGAAGAGGAACCGCGGAACGGACGCGTTGGAGGGGGAGGGGGGAGCGTCCATGGCGGCCGGCGGGACGGCGTTGCGCGTGATGAGACGAATTAAGCCGCACCACCAAAGTCGTAACGCGCGCGTGGCGTGAGACGGGTTCAGGCGCGCGTGGCGTGGGACGGGTTCAGGCGCGCGTGACAACGTGCACCGTGGTGAGCTTTGGGGAAGGGTGGAGGCGTGCTGCGGGGAGTGTATGGAATGGAATGCACGATTCTGCTGTCTGCTGCACTGCGGTGTCGTGCGATGTGGTGGTCGGATGCCTTGCCCGCTTGTCGTTCTCGATTAGAACAGCCGCGTTATACCCGTCATTAATAATTTCTATCGACATAGAAATTAGAAAAAGGCAAACGCTACACTATCTTGTAAAGTATTTCTTTCTCACACTTACTGTACAGCAAAATTCACTACCGGCAAGTTCGCATGTGAGGATACACAAAATAAAACAGTGACAGTGGAAAGCTTGATCCACCCATGGTGTACGCACCCACTACACCCAACAGCTCGACTGGACAAAATACATGCAGGCATGGACTAGGCACCCTAAAAACGACCACCACGGAAACCCCCACCCCTTCCCCTGAATCCCCCTCCACCACCCCGGAACCCTCCCCCTCCCCCTCTACCCCTGAACCCACCTCCTCCACCCCTTCCCCCTCCCCTAAATCCCCCTCGCCCCCCTCCACGCCCCCCCCTGCCTCCCCTGCCTCCAAAGCCCCCTCTCCCCCCTGCGCTGGCACCCCTGCACTCATGAGAGGGAGGAATGAGGCAAGACAAGACAGAACGGGTGGAAGAGGTGGGGGTTAAACGAAGTGAGACAGATGACGGGAAGGAAGGAGGGATGGAGAGGCACAGGGGATGACATGACACAGGGAAAGCAACAGGACTTGGTTGAACACGTTTCCTAAAAAAAAGCATAAGAAACACCACGCAGCACCTCATCCCACAGCGCACGTGCACCACACATTCACACCACCCAGCAACGCACTCAATTCCCCTACACTCACTTGGGCTGCGGCAGGAAGCGCTGCAGCGGCAGCAGCTTCATGGGGTCGATGAAGAACTTGTCCCCCGGCGAGTAGGACGTCGCCACCACCCCCTCCTGCATCTTTATCGAAAAATACTGCACACGGTGGAATGGAGGGGAGGGAGGAGTGGGGAGGGAGAGGGGGGGGAAGGGGGGGGGGAGAAAGGGAAGGAGCGCAGCAGGGACAGAGTGGCGATGGTGAGGGCGGGGAGGCGGCGAGCAAGACGCCGCCACCTTCTCTCCTGAATCTTTATCGAGAAAAACTGCAGGAAAGTGGGGGATCAGCCACATTGACAGTAAATTTGAGGGGGGCAAGCTTGCTGTTGCAGTTGACCGGAAAACATGGACAGCACTTTGTTCTCGAGGTAGATGAGCTCGTTGGAATACAACACCTTGGCGCCCACCGTCAGCCGCACTCAGCCCCATCTCACCGCACTCAACCACACTCACCGGCTCGTTGATGGGGCCGAAGATCTCCTCGACCTTGCCGATCTGCGTCTTGTTCTCGAGGTAGATGGGCGCGTTGAAGTACGGCACCTTCTCGCTCACCGTCAGCCGCGTCACCGCCTCGCCCTCGCACGCGTGCATGAACGTCGACACCTCTGCGGAATGTAAGAGGAGAGGGGAAGGAGGAAGGGGCGGACCGGGGGGGAGGGGAGGGGAGGGGAGGGGAGGGGAGGAGCGCAAGAGAGGAGCGCGGCAGCGGGGGAGGGAAGGGGCGCAGGGAAGGGAGGGACATGAACGACCCGCCTCGCCCTCGCACGCGTGCATGAAAGAACGTCGACACCCCTGGAGCGGCGCACGGGAGGGGCACAGGGGAATGAGCGCAATGCACGGGGATACCGTCACAAAGGAGAGTCCCAAAGAACAGAGAAGGGGAGAAGAGGACAAGGACAAAAACTCCACTCTCTTTTTCCACGCCTCCCCCCAACCCCCCACGCCCTCCCCTCTCCCTCTTCCCCCCCTCCCCTCCCGTTTTCCCCTTTTTCCCCTCCTCCCCACAACTGAGACATGGCTCGACGCAATCAATGCAATCAGACCTCCCCCGGAATCGCCTCATTGCACCCTTTTCGTGGCCCGCCGCCACAAAGCGCCGCCAAAAGCGACTTCTAAGACGACTCAGCTAACTCTCCAACTATTCGTTCCCTACATTCCATTCGTCGCCCCTCACCGTTTCTCGCCCCCCCAAAACAGGTCACCGCTTACCCACAACGTGGGACGGCGGCCCCTCATCCCGTTGAAAGCCGCCTCGCCCGCCGCCTCTTCCGCCGAAACCCCCGCCGCGCCCGCCGAATCCTCCGCCGCCCCTCCCCCTGAATCCTCCGCCGCGCGGTGGCCGCATGATGCGCTGAGCTTACTTAAAGCGCCAAGAACGGGGATGGCGAAATGGGGACGTGCGATTCGAGCAGAGGCTTAAATCCCCCACCCCCAACACAATCGCAGAGAGACGGTCGTCGAAAATGCGATTACCAAGCCCAGTTGCGGCAAAAGATATATACGCTTATTTGTTAAGATTTCCCAACGGTGTCGCGCCGTGGAGGGGAGGCGCGGAGCAGGAACAGGATTAGGGCGGAAAGAGAGGTACATAATGGCAGTGGGGTGGGTATGTGGCAGCAGTTGGGGCAAGCCGAATGGGGAGTTTCGCTGCAAAGAAGACCGCTTGAAGGCTGAGAATCAAGATACACGTACAGATTAAAACATTCTTGATGTGCTGTATATTACAACCTGATCATGTACATTCATGTGGCGTCTTTGATTTTAGCGGCACAGTTGATTGTACCGTTTTGTACCGAATTACACCAGGTACGTATCCACGATGGTTTCTGCAAATATTCCGTACCTGAGGCTCTCACAATTGCCCTCCACCGTATTGCATCCTGGTGAATGCAGTCATCATCCCGCAGCGCCACGTTCGAATCCGCGAAAACACTAGTCGACAAAGATTCTACAGATGGCACAAATCCCCGACTGTGGTACCTTGGCATGGTGATTCTACGCACCGCACCACACATCTGATCACAATCCTCCATAAGCGTGTCGCATGGACGGCGCTCTCTTAGATCGCGGCCGCCGTTCGACTTAGCATCATTGACTCCTCGCGTCAAAAGAATCTAGAAGTCTTTGTTTGCTTGCTGGCTCGTAACGGTTCGTGAGCGCGCGTAACACCACGAAGGCGGCAGCAGCGCGATGGCGAGCGATAGCGATAGGGAGGGTCAGACAGACACGGGCGGGGCGCTGCGGGTGGTGTCGCTGCTGGGAGCGGCGAGCGAGGTGATGGCGGCGCTAGGTTTGGCGCATCTGCTGGTGGGGCGGTCGCACGAGTGCAAGTTCCCGCCGTCGCTGCTCGCGCTGCCGTGCGTGTCGTCGCCCGCGCTGGGGCCGGATCTCGAGCAGCAGAGCTGTGCGACGGTGCACGACAGGGTGAGTCGCAGAGCTGTGCGATAATGCGCGACAGGGAGAGTCGCAGAGTTGCGCATTTCGAACGTTTCCAGTCCGTTTCCTGTTTTAGAGCATGCGCTTCCCCTCCCCGCTTCCTCACCGAACCGCAGCTTTCGGAGCGCGTGCGCAAGGGACTGTCGCGGTACGACGTGGACGTGGAGGCGATCCGGCGGCTGCAGCCGGATGTGATAATAACGCAGGACGCGTGCGACGTGTGCGCCGTGACCGCATCGGACCTCCAGGCGGCGTGCGCGGAGTACTTCGCGCAGCGCGACGGCGCGGGGCGCGCGTGCCACGTGGTGTCGCTGCGTCCAATGAACGCCTCGGACGTGTGGGACAATATTCTCCAGATCGCCGCGGCGGTCGGGCACAGTGACAAGGGCCGGGCGCTTGTGGAAAGTCTGCAGGCGCGATGGGCGCGCGTGCGCGCGCAGGTTCCGCGGGGCGCGGAGGGGGCATGCGCGCGCCCGCGCGTGGTGTGTCTGCAGTGGGTGCGGCCGCTGATGGGCGCGGGGTACTGGGTGCCCGAGATCGTCGCGTGCGCTGGCGGGGAGAGCCTTTCTGGGAAGGTGAGACTGGTGGGGAGGCTGCACGTGGGGAAGGTTTATGGGAAACGTGTGAAGCAGTAATGAAAGGCGAGGGAAAGGGGAACTGGGAAACGGGGCCACTCTTTTCTACGTGTGCCCCGTGGTGTGCCTGTGATGGTTGCAGCCTTGAAATGCCATCTCTCCATCGGCCCACGCCCTTTCTCCTTTCCCTACCATTCACTCCCTTTCTCTCAGCCACCCCCCTGTGTTGCCCCTCCTGCCCCCCACAAACCCCATTGTTCCCCACCGCACCCTCTCGCCCCTATCAGCCTGGGGAACGTACTGCCATACTCTCCTTTGAGGCCCTTGTCTCTCTCGATCCAGATGTCATCGTCACCATGTGCTGCGGCCTTTCCAGGGAGGCCATTCTGAAAGAGCTCCTTACTTCTGAGGATTTGCAGCAGTGGAACCGGTTGAGAGCGGTGCAGAGGGATGCAGTGTTTGTGGCGGATGGGGACCGATACTTCAACAACTCGGGGCCCACCATTGTTGACTCTGCAGAGATCATGCTGGAGATGCTGCATGCGCACCGCTTCCAACTGCACACAACCGCAGCACACCTCTCAGGAGCTGCTGCCGCTGCCGTTGCCCCTGCTGCTGGTGCTGGTGCGGATGGCACTACTCCCCCTCCCTCTTGTCCCCCCAGCGCCAACTGCAAGGGCCCTGTGGGTCAACGAGAGAATATCCCAGGGATTGAGATTAAGTATGAGGGGACGGCATACACGCACCTGACAGGCGGGTGTGTGGAGGCTTGGCGCGCTTCTGTGGGATGGCAGGACTGACCTGCAGGGAGGGGGCAATCTCCGTCACTGCTGCTGTGCTCTGGACCATGAGCGTGCAACCATGGAGCCAGAGGGTGTGGGAGAAGAGCAGGGTGGAAGTTAGACCATCTCACGGCAAGCTTGCTGTTAATGCAGCAAGAGTTCAGGAGTGCAGTGTCAGGTGATGAGAAGCTAGAGATGCAGCAGCAGGAGATGTTGCGCTAGTTAGGGGTGTAAGTGCAGAATCGACGCAAAATAGATTGGATAGTTGAGGAAGCACCTCTACAGGTGCATGAGCGAAAAGAACTTATGTTTAACGGTACAACTGGGTTTATAATGGTGAAGTGCGATCAAGTATTCAAGCTCCATTGCAACGTCCAACAATCTCTCATCCTCATTCCACATCCCAATGAGCGTGACCCCCACTGGATGATACTCCTTATTACCCTCCCCTTTGCTCTCATCAGCAGTACCACCCTCATGTGTGCAGCTGCCAGCTGCAGCACTCCCAGATGAACCACCAGCAGCAGGTGTGAGGGCGACTGGCATGGTGACAGTGGGAATGATGGGATCTCCTGTCGTGCCTGGTGGGGATGTGGGCGCATCAGACGAGAGAGGCAGCGTCACTTTCGAGACGTCTCAACAACCACATCTCAAGGCACTCATGGCAACCACACATTTGACTGTCAGGAGTGGTGGCAAGCATGAGTATTACGGTAGTAACAATAGAGACCAGAGCAATAGTTTGGTCGATTCCCCCTGTTCCCCACACCTTGGAGGTATGCCTGTGGCAGCAGGGGCAATGAAGGCCTCAGCACCGGCCTGCCTCAGCTGGTGCTGCAGTGCATGCCGCAGCGCCACACACGACGCCCTGCCTTGTGCAGCCTCCCCGTCTGTCACCCCCCGCCCAGTGGTGACCAGCTCCATGAGCTGGCGCGGAAAAGAAGGGGCGTCAGAGTCTTTTAAGTCAACTCAAAACTCTCCTCCTTGGTCACCCTGTGCCCCGTTGTGACCAGCTCCATGAGCTGTAAAACCGGAAGTGGAAGTGGGGAAGTGGGCGCGGGAAGGAAGAGTGGGGGGAAACTGGAAAACGTTCCGATTGCAATGAATGCTGGCCAAAATAGTGCCGCCATTCGCCCCCCCCACCATTGCTCACGCTGTCGCGCATCGCGCAGCTCTGCGACTCACCCTATCGCGCAGCTCTGCAAGCACCCTGTCGCGCATTGTCGCACAGATCTGCGACTCACCCTGTCGTGCACCGTCGCACAGCTCTGCTGCTCGAGATCCGGCCCCAGCGCGGGCGACGACACGCACGGCAGAGCGAGCAGCGACGGCGGGAACTTGCACTCGTGCGACCGCCCCACCAGCAGATGGCTAACCCTAGCGCCGCCATCACCTCGCTCGCCGCTCCCAGCAGCGACTCTGCTCGCGAAAACAAGTCACACGCGCAACCTTGCTGACACCAGCAGTGAAACTCGCCGAACAGACGTTAAAACTTTTTAAACTTCGGAAAAGGCAAGATACATCAGTTGTTGCTTATCTTGCCAAGCCGGGACGTCGTAAGGCGAGAGGAGCAAACGACGCACCAAGTTGTTGCTTTTGCTCCCAGCTATTGCTAAGAAGTTCTAAGAAGAGCAAAGAAGGCTAGAGGAGTAGACGGCGCTGGAAATGCTAAGATTCAATCTCCATGTAAGAAGCATGCGGCTGATGAGGTTAGGAAGCGTGCGATCGCCAAGCAAGAGTATTTGCTCATGGAGAACTTGAGTTGAGAGTTATAATCGCCATTCCTAGGAAGAGATTGCTCGTCGACGATTACAATGGTTGTTCGTCGACGATTAGAATGGTGCTTTCTGTTTGTTCGATCGTGCTTGGATCTGAGTCTGAGTCTACTTCATCCGCTGAGGGATTTGTATTCCGTGTCTGGTCAAGATGAAAAATAATATATATATAAAACATGTCACACATACAAGGAAGAGATCTGAACTAGAGACTACAACTAGCTTCAGTTCTTCAAATCCTGGTTCTGCACGACGAAAGGCCGATCTTCTGCTGCTGCTCCACTTCTTGTCTTGAGTCTTGACCCCTCTTGGCCGCTAGAGGCAAAGCCTCTAGCGTTTCACCCGTGCACCGCGTTGAGGTGGGGGTTTTTCGCACGGGACACCTGTTGGAGGGTGGGGGGAGGAGGGGCGGAAGGAAGGAAGGGAAAAAAAAGAATGAAAACTTTTTGGGGGGGAAATTATGAATTGTACTGCCACGGGCAGAAAACCGCCTCGGATGTCCGGTTGTCAGACTGTCAAGCGGGAGTCCTCGAGTCGCGCTGATGTCAGACATCCTGCACTTTACCTGGCACACATTACCCAATCGTACCCCAACCACGGACCCCACCGAAACCACCCAACCGCGGACCCCGCCGGAACCACCCAACCGCGGACCCCATCGAAACTACCCAACCGCGGCATACCGTACCGGGCTTTTCGGTTCGAGCCTATCAGTCAGTTCCGTTCCGTGGTCGGTTCTACGCGAGTCTGTATCGTGTCCGTCTGTAACGAGTCTAGTCTAACGTCGTAGACGAGTTGAAGCTGATCCCCGTGCTTGTTGTCTCTCAACCTGACACGGGGCACTGGAAGAAGAGAGGAGAGGAAAGGCGTGAAGTGATGGCGTCCGCTCTCCGCCAGCGCCGTTGCTCCCCGCCAGCGCCGTCCAAGCTCGGTCAACGCCGTTGACCTCTCGCGTCGTTACCAGCGCTGTTGTCTCCAGCTCACGCCGCTCCTGCGATGGAGCACACAACAAATCGTTAGTCTCCAGAAGAAAAAAATAATGGAAAACTGAAACTGAAACTTACCAAGAAAGAGGGAGTCCCCCGTGATAGCTTGAACTCCCGCTGCCACCATTGACTCCCGCTTCCGCCTCTTCTGCACTAAAAGAGAGAGAACACAACATAGTAGTTAGAATCTGGAAAAAATAATCAAGGAAAACTGAAACTGAGACTTACAAAGAAAGAAGGAGTCCCCCGTGGTAGCTTGAGCTCCCGCCGCCACCGTTGACTCCCGCTTCCGCCTCTTCTGCACTAACAGAGAGAGAACACAACATAGTAGTTAGAATCCAGTAAAAAAAATCAAGGAAAACTGAAACTGAGACTTACAAAGAAAAAAGGAGTCCCCCGTGGTAGCTTGAGCTCCCGCCGCCACCGTTGACTCCCGCTTCCGCCTCTTCTGCACTAAAAGAGAGAGAACACAACGTAGTAGTTAGAATCCGGAAAAAATAATCAAGGAAAACTGAAACTGAGACTTACAAAGAAAGAAGGAGTCCCCCGTGGTAGCTTGAGCTCCCGCCGCCACCGTTGACTCCCGCGCCCGCCTTTCCTGCACTAAAAGAGAGAGAACACAACACTGTAGTTAGAATCCGAAAAATAAAACCAAGGAAAACTGAAACTGAAACTTACAAAGAAAGACGGAGTCCCCCGTGGTAGCTTGAACTCCCGCCGCCACCGTTGACTCCCGCGCCCGCCTTTCCTGCACTAAAAGAGAGCGAACACAACATAGTAGTTAGAATCCGGAAGAAAAGGCAACGAAAACTGAAACTGAAACTTACGAGGTCAGAGAGAGTTCTCCGAGAGAGGCGCAGCTTGTAGCGAACCGAAGCGTTGCCAAGCGCCTCCGATGCACCGTGCGCCGTGAGACGTGCCCGAAGAAGCTTCATGCGTCCGCATGGCCGCCATCCGTCACCGCGTCCCTGTGGCCGCGTCAGGACTTGGCGTCAGGAGCATCGTGACTGCATCGGTGACTTCGGAGCTTTCGTGTCTCGGCCATCTTCGGTCGCCAAGACGGTCGCCATGACTGTCGCCGAGAAGGTCGCCGAGGTCTGAAAAAGGAACAAGGCGAGATATTAGTACCTGTTAAAAAAAAAAAAACCGAAGTTTCTCGAAGCAAAAGTTTGAAGTGATTTACGTACCCCAAAGCGTTGGCGTCAAGTCCGCCATTGGCGACGGTCGGCGAGGCGACCTTGAATGCATCCGTGGCGGCGCCAATGCTTGAAAGCTTCCGTAGCGCCTCTCGTGCTCTTGTGAGCATGAGACGGTCGCCAATGAGGTCGCAGAGACGGTCGCCAATGAGGTCGCATAGACGGTCGCCAATGAGGTCGCATAGACGGTCGCCAATGAGGATCCATAGACGGTCGCCAAGGAGGTCGAAGAGACGGTCGCCATTGTGGTCGCAGAGACGGTCGCCAAAGAGGTCGCATAGACGGTCGTCAATGAGGTCGCAAAGGTCTGAAAAGGAAAAAGGAATCTCATGAGTACTACTCAACAAAGTTAAACCAAAGTCCAACTCGGTTTACGTACCCCAACCAAGTCCACAAGTCCGCCATTGGTGACGGTTGGCGAACAGTTTGTGACGGGCTTGAAGCCATTCTTCCGGTTATGCTTGAAGACGTTCTTCCGGTTATGCTTGAAGGCATTCTTCCGGTTATGCTTGAAGGCGTTCTTCCGGTTATGCTTGAAGGCGTTCTTCCGGTTATGCTTGAGTGCTTCCGCTTCCGATTATGAAGACGACAGCGACGGTCGAAGCTCCTATCCGCTTCCGGCATGGCTTACGTCTGAAAAGAAGAAGGAAACAAAGGGTTAGTAAAAAGAAGAACTGAAGAAAAGACCAGCGACAATGATCCGGCATGACTTACTTCAACAAGAAGCGCCTTTCGCGGAGACGGTGAGTGATCGCCAATCGGCAATCTTCGGGTTGGGCTTGAGTGCGTCCCGCTTGTAGAAGCTTGAGAGCAATCTGCTTCAGGTCACACGACGGTCTTCTATTCAGGTGGCCCGTCGTTGTGTTGGTGAAGACTAGAATCGCCGCAACGACGGGAGAGGCCGCACCAGCAGCATTTTGAATCAGCAGAGGAGGCGCCGTGCTTCACTTTGAAGCTCTCGAAGTAGACCTCGTTGCAAAAAATTCGCCGCACAGCGTGAAGATCGTGTAATGAAGACCTTGCAGATATGCTCGTGCCACGTAGATATGGCGGTACAGATTTCGCGGTTAAAAGGTTGCCGCGGAAATCTCGGTATAGTACACAGTTCAGCCAAGGCAATTAGCAGCTCACTCCTCACGACATCTACCCACCCACCCCACACCCGACTCTCTAACTCAACGCCGCCTCATGCCTTGGCTTCCCCGTGTACTATCCGGATGAGCTCATTGGGATTGGAGCTTCAAGAAAAAGAACTACACAAACTCAACATCGCTAGATAACATGGAGCGGATGAGATGCTCGAAGGAGATGCAAGCAAAAGGTAGCTGCTGAAACAAAAGGATAAGCTTGCTGCTGATTGGTGAATACAAATCCGCCATTCTGAATGGCGGCTCTGACGGCGTGTGGGGGGGAATTCAAACCAAATGCGGCTTTGAGAACACCATGCTGTGCTGCCGCCGTGTGGGAGGGAATTCCTGAATCCTGACACCAGGCAATTGCGCGGTGCGAAAAAGTACAGTGTGATGTGAATGGATGGATAGTGGTGGTGCAGTCGACCGCAACGGTGGGAAGGTGTGGTGGATTGTGTGATGGACCAATTGTGTGAATGTGTGGTGGATTTTGTGGTGCCGAGATTGTCAGGGGATCAGGGGTCATTCGTCGAGCCGCGCGTGAAGGACAGTTTGAGGCGGCTGAAATTGTGCCCCCGCCTTGTCCATCCAGCCCAACCCAAGTAGTACAGCACATTCATTTTGCACATTCGGGTTATACAAATCGGATTGAGTTGTTCGTATGCAAACGCGTACGCCAAAGGCGAGGATTGGTGGTTACGGAGGTTTGTTGAGCACGCTGCTGCAACAGCAAGGGTGGGCTCGAGCTTTCTAGGAGGTGGTTGACGTGGCGCTATCTTTAGTTGGTTTGGGCCGTAAGTTATTTTAGCCGCGTGGGTTTAGCGTGAGGTGCGGGACGGCTTTGGTTGAGGTCAGCTGGCTCACTCTCATCCTCCTGAACCTGCTCGGGCAGCTGGAATAACAATGTATGGATGAGAAAACAATTACGCGAACCAATGGAATGAAGGTGTTTTTGACACCCTGGCACAACCACCGGACCTGGTATTCCGAACCTGCCACCAATACTTCACCCGCCATTTCCCAGATGTGAGTAACTTGCATTTAGCAGTAGTTTCGCCACGCATCTCGTTAGTTTCGATGGTTATTATTTTGTGAAGACAGATCTCTGCGCTGTAGTCGATCTGAGTACAGCTTTCCACGACAGCGATTTCATGTAGCTCACGCTCTCGGTCGTGCTTATTTTTAATCGCTTTATCTTCTATTGGCATGCTAGCAGTATCGGGTTTGAATAGTCATCGCAGTCTCGGTAAGACAGTCTAAGTTGCGCGCTCCAGATCTGACTTCTATCCACATGGTAGTAGCGGGCGGATTAGTAACATTCGTGGCGGACGAATTAGTAGCGTCAATTTCTGACGCATCAGTAGCGACTCGCGCTTCGTCGGTTAGACAGCGCGTTTCGTCAACTTCACAGCGTCGACGGTATGTTGGACGCAAGGCGCGAAAAAGGAGGTGAGTGGAGGTGACGGTAATTTGCCCTTCCCCTTCCCCTTTACACTTTCCCCCTCGTGACTTCAGATCGTCGACTGTATTCTGTTCGCGAGACGCGGAAAAGGAGGACGGGAGATGAGTGGAGGTGAGTGGAGGTGAGCGGAGGGCAGAATAAGGGGAGATGGACGGAGAGGACTGGAGAAGGGGAAAGCGCCCATTACTCCTTTTCTCCTCCTCTTTCCGCTTTTCTCTTACCCTTAAAGCGTTTTTCCTCCCCTTTCCGCGTTTCCCCTCCCCTTCCCGCGCTCCCCTCATCTTCCAGGACTAGCGTGCGCGTCGACGGTCCCAGCCTGGACGCAAGACGGGAAAAAGGTAGGATGGGAGCGGAGGGGAGGTGAGCGGAGGGGAGAAGAAAGTCGAAGGTGGGCGGAGCGGAGGGGAGAAGAGGGGAAATGGACGGAGAGGACTGGCGAAAGGGGAAAGCGCCCATTTTTTCCCTTTTCCCCCCCCCCCCCCCCACCCCCCCCCCCCCACCCCTCCTTTCCGCCCTCCCCTTTCTGCTCTCCCCTTTCCGCTCCCCCCCCATCTTCCTGTAAGGTGACTGAAAGGGATTACATCTGAGGTGAGTGAAAGGGATTACATCTGAGGTGAGTGAATGGGATTACATCTGAGGTGAGTTATTGAAGATGAAAGCTCATTGAGGGAGGAGGAAGGGGTGTGGTACGTGGCACTGCCTGCATGCTGCAACGCACTGCCTGCACAACGCAACGCACTGCCTGCACACAGCAACCTGCACACCGCAACGCATCACCTTGGTTCTGCTGCTCTGGTTGTGATCCCACCGTCTGATTTGGATCCAATGTGTAGTTGCTAGTTTGCCTCAAGTTTGATTTAATGTGTAGTTGCTAGTTTGTCTCTCTCAGCACTGGTTTCTCTTACACACTCTCAGCAGCATTGTGCACCATCAGTACCCTTACAACAATTGCTTGCATGGATTTAAATGCTCAGTTGTGTCTGTCAGGATGGAGTGGACCATTGAGATCACTACAATAATTTGTTAACTCTCAAGGGAATCTACACTACACTACGCTAAGCAGGTCCTGTTTCACAAATTAGAGCTACCCTACAAGCACACTTCTCCGAGCTCCAGAACAGAACTCACCTGCTGGCCTGCAGAGTTAGGTCAGTGGAAACAACCAGCATGGGGCAGATGGGGCTCGTGAAGGTCACTCCCAGGCCTTCTGAGGCGAGTAAAGAGGCTTTCTGAACGCACCTGCTGGCTTGCAGAGCCAGGTCAGCGGGACGGAGCGCAATGGGGCAGGTGGGACTACTGAGTTGTGAAGGTCACTCACATCCCAGACCGTCCCCCAGCTGCTTCACTTGCTGCCACACGGCCCTCCGGAGCATCTGCCATCACTGCTGTCCCTGCTGGTGGTGCTGGTGCCGATGGCACTATTTCCCTTCCCTCTTGTCCCCCTAGCTCCAGCTGCAATGGCAGGACCGTGTTAGATGGCAGGACTGACCTGCAGAGGGGAGCGATCTATGTTAGTGTTTACTGACAGAAAAATAGTTGAGGAAGCAGCCCTGCCGTTGTATGCGCAAGGAAATAAGAAGATTATGTATCGTACTGTACTACCACTGGTTATATGGGTTCAGAATGGTGAAGTGCGATGAAGAAAGCGTTCAAGCTCCAATGCAATGTCCAACAGTCGCTCATCCTCGTTCCACATCCCAACCAGCGTCACTCCCACAGGAAGATACTCCTTGATAGGTTCCCTGTTGCTCTCATCAGCGGAACCACCCTCGTGTGTGCTGTAATCTGCAGCACTCTCAATCTCAGATGAACCACCAGCAGGAGGTGTGAGGGCGACTGGCATGGTGACAGTGGGTAGACCCGCATGGCTCCAGGGGATGGACATGTTGGGGTCTCCTGTCGTGCCTGGTGGGGCAGGTGCGAGGGAGTATGATCATAAGAAAGGATAGGGGCGACACATAACAGGCATCTGGAGTCACGCAAACATCACTCGGGGCGACTGGCATGGCGACAGTGGGCAGACCCGCATGGCTCCAGGGGATGGACATGATGGGGTCTCCTGTCGTGCCTGCTGGGGAGTGCAGGCGTATGGGGCGGGCGTATGGGCAACATCAACCTCAGGAGAGGAGACCAGAACACAGGAGAGACGAGAACAGTAAAAGTTATGACTTAAATAAATTTCCCTTGTTCCCCTCACCTTGATGCATGGGAGGAGGGAAGCCCGTGGCAGCAGGAGCGATGAAGGCCTCAGCACCAGCCTGCCTCAGCTGCTGCTGCAGCAGACGCCGTAGTGCCACACATGACGCCCTGCCTGCTGCCGCCTCCTCCTCTGTCACCCCTCGCCCACTCGTGACCAGCTCCATGAGCTGGCGAGGGAGAGAGGACGCAGGCCATCACATGGGCTATGAATGGACTGAATGAGCTACTTAGTACATGAACATAGGCTATGTGAACATAGGCTATGCGAATGGTGCATCGAGATGTGCCCGAGATAATGCTGATGCTGATGCTGATGCTGATGGGATGCTGAGACCGATCTGATGCTGATGCTGATGCTGATGGTGATGCTGATGCTGATGCTGATGCTGATGCTGATGCTGATGCTGATGGTGATGCTGATGCTGATGCTGATGCTGATGCTGATCCTGATGCTGATGCTGATGCCGATGCTGATGCTGATGCTGATGCT